GGGACTTATTCTGTTCCGGAATCGTCATAGGGAGATATGTATGACGTACTGGGGACCCTTCTGCCCCGGAATCATGACAGGGAGATATGTATGACGTACTGGGGACTTTTCTGCCCCGGAATCGTCACGGGTAGATATGCATGACGTACTGGGGACTCTTCTGCCCCGGAATCATCATAGGGAGATATGTATGACATACTTGGGACACTTCTGCCTCTGAATCATCACAGGGAGACATGCATGAGGTACTGTGGACTTTTCTGCCCCGGAATCACCATAGGGAGATATGTATGACGTACTGGGGACCCTTCTTCCCCGGAATCATGACAGGGAGATATGTATGACCTACTGGGGACACTTCTGCCCCGGAATCATCACAGGGAGACATGCATGACGTACTGGGGACTCTTCTGCCCCGGAATCATCATAGGGAGATATGTATGACGTACTGTGGACTTATTCTGTTCCGGAATCATCATAGGGAGATATGTATGACGTACTGTGGACTCTTTTGCCCCGGAATCATCACAGGGAGATATGTATGACGTACTGTGGACTTTTTCTGTTCCGGAATCATCATAGGGAGATATGTATGACGTACTGTGGACTTATTCTGTTCCGGAATCATCATAGGGAAATATGTATGACGTACTGTGGACTCTTCTGCCCCGGAATCATGACAGGGAGATATGTATGACGCACTGTGGACTTATTCTGTTCCGGAATCATCATAGGGAGATATGTATGACGTACTGGGGACTCTTCTGCCTCGGAATCATCACAGGGAGATATGTATGAGGTACTGGGGACTTATTCTGTTCCGGAATCATCATAGGGAAATATGTATGACGTACTGGGGACCCTTCTGCCCCGGAATCATGACAGGGAGATATGTATGAGGTACTGGGGACTTTTCTGCCCCAGAATCATCACGGGTAGATATGCATGACGTACTGGGGACTCTTTTGCCTCGGAATCATCACAGGGAGATATGTATGAGGTAATGGGGACTTATTCTGTTCCGGAATCGTCATAGGGAGATATGTATGACGTACTGAGGACTCTTTTGCCCAGCAATCATCACAGGGAGATATGTATGACGTACTGGGGACTTTTCTGCCCCGGTATCATGACAGGGAGATATGCATGACGTATTGGGGACTCTTCTGCCCCGGAATCATCATAGGGAGATATGTATGACATACTTGGGACACTTCTGCCTCTGAATCATCACAGGGAGACATGCATGAGGTACTGTGGACTTTTCTGCCCCGGAATCACCATAGGGAGATATATATGACGTACTGGGGACCCTTCTGCCCCGGAATCATGACAGGGAGATATGTATGACGTACTGGGGACACTTCTGCCCCGGAATCATCACAGAGAGACATGCATGACGTACTGGCGACTCTTCTGCCCCGGAATCATCATAGGGAGATATGTATGACGTACTGTGGACTTTTTCTGTTCCGGAATCATCATAGGGAGATATGTATGACGTACTGTGGACTTATTCTGTTCCGGAATCAACATAGGGAAATATGTATGACGTACTGTGGACTCTTCTGCCCCGGAATCATGACAGGGAGATATGTATGACGCACTGTGGACTTATTCTGTTCCGGAATCATCATAGGGAGATATGTATGACGTACTGGGGACTCTTCTGCCTCGGAATCATCACAGGGAGATATGTATGAGGTACTGGGGACTTATTCTGTTCCGGAATCATCATAGGGAAATATGTATGACGTACTGTGGACTTATTCTGTTCCGGAATCATCATAGGGAAATATGTATGACGTACTGTGGACTCTTCTGCCCCGGAATCATGACAGGGAGATATGTATGACGCACTGTGGACTTATTCTGTTCCGGAATCATCATAGGGAGATATGTATGACGTACTGGGGACTCTTCTGCCTCGGAATCATCACAGGGAGATATGTATGAGGTACTGGGGACTTATTCTGTTCCGGAATCATCATAGGGAAATATGTATGACGTACTGGGGACCCTTCTGCCCCGGAATCATGACAGGGAGATATGTATGAGGTACTGGGGACTTTTCTGCCCCAGAATCATCACGGGTAGATATGCATGACGTACTGGGGACTCTTTTGCCTCGGAATCATCACAGGGAGATATATATGAGGTAATGGGGACTTATTCTGTTCCGGAATCGTCATAGGGAGATATGTATGACGTACTGAGGACTCTTTTGCCCAGCAATCATCACAGGGAGATATGTATGACGTACTGGGGACTTTTCTGCCCCGGTATCATGACAGGGAGATATGCATGACGTATTGGGGACTCTTCTGCCCCGGAATCATCATAGGGAGATATGTATGACATACTTGGGACACTTCTGCCTCTGAATCATCACAGGGAGACATGCATGAGGTACTGTGGACTTTTCTGCCCCGGAATCACCATAGGGAGATATGTATGACGTACTGGGGACCCTTCTGCCCCGGAATCATGACAGGGAGATATGTATGACGTACTGGGGACACTTCTGCCCCGGAATCATCACAGAGAGACATGCATGACGTACTGGCGACTCTTCTGCCCCGGAATCATCATAGGGAGATATGTATGACGTACTGTGGACTTTTTCTGTTCCGGAATCATCATAGGGAGATATGTATGACGTACTGTGGACTTATTCTGTTCCGGAATCATCATAGGGAAAAATGTATGACGTACTGTGGACTCTTCTGCCCCGGAATCATGACAGGGAGATATGTATGACGCACTGTGGACTTATTCTGTTCCGGAATCATCATAGGGAGATATGTATGACGTACTGGGGACTCTTCTGCCTCGGAATCATCACAGGGAGATATGTATGAGGTACTGGGGACTTATTCTGTTCCGGAATCATCATAGGGAAATATGTATGACGTACTGGGGACCCTTCTGCCCCGGAATCATGACAGGGAGATATGTATGAGGTACTGGGGACTTTTCTGCCCCGGAATCATCACGGGTAGATATGCATGACGTACTGGGGACTCTTTTGCCTCGGAATCATCACAGGGAGATATGTATGAGGTAATGGGGACTTATTCTGTTCCGGAATCGTCATAGGGAGATATGTATGACGTACTGAGGACTCTTTTGCCCAGCAATCATCACAGGGAGATATGTATGACGTACTGGGGACTTTTCTGCCCCGGTATCATGACAGGGAGATATGCATGACGTATTGGGGACTCTTCTGCCCCGGAATCATCATAGGGAGATATGTATGACATACTTGGGACACTTCTGCCTCTGAATCATCACAGGGAGACATGCATGAGGTACTGTGGACTTTTCTGCCCCGGAATCACCATAGGGAGATATGTATGACGTACTGGGGACCCTTCTGCCCCGGAATCATGACAGGGAGATATGTATGACGTACTGGGGACACTTCTGCCCCGGAATCATCACAGAGAGACATGCATGACGTACTGGCGACTCTTCTGCCCCGGAATCATCATAGGGAGATATGTATGACGTACTGTGGACTTTTTCTGTTCCGGAATCATCATAGGGAGATATGTATGACGTACTGTGGACTTATTCTGTTCCGGAATCATCATAGGGAAAAATGTATGACGTACTGTGGACTCTTCTGCCCCGGAATCATGACAGGGAGATATGTATGACGCACTGTGGACTTATTCTGTTCCGGAATCATCATAGGGAGATATGTATGACGTACTGGGGACTCTTCTGCCTCGGAATCATCACAGGGAGATATGTATGAGGTACTGGGGACTTATTCTGTTCCGGAATCATCATAGGGAAATATGTATGACGTACTGGGGACCCTTCTGCCCCGGAATCATGACAGGGAGATATGTATGAGGTACTGGGGACTTTTCTGCCCCGGAATCATCACGGGTAGATATGCATGACGTACTGGGGACTCTTTTGCCTCGGAATCATCACAGGGAGATATGTATGAGGTAATGGGGACTTATTCTGTTCCGGAATCGTCATAGGGAGATATGTATGACGTACTGAGGACTCTTTTGCCCAGCAATCATCACAGGGAGATATGTATGACGTACTGGGGACTTTTCTGCCCCGGTATCATGACAGGGAGATATGCATGACGTATTGGGGACTCTTCTGCCCCGGAATCATCATAGGGAGATATGTATGACATACTTGGGACACTTCTGCCTCTGAATCATCACAGGGAGACATGCATGAGGTACTGTGGACTTTTCTGCCCCAGAATCACCATAGGGAGATATGTATGACGTACTGGGGACCCTTCTGCCCCGGAATCATGACAGGGAGATATGTATGACGTACTGGGGACACTTCTGCCCCGGAATCATCACAGAGAGACATGCATGACGTACTGGCGACTCTTCTGCCCCGGAATCATCATAGGGAGATATGTATGACGTACTGTGGACTTATTCTGTTCCGGAATCATCATAGGGAGATATGTATGACGTACTGTGGACTCTTTTGACACGGAGTCATGACGGAAGATATGTATGACGTACTGGGGACTCTTCTGCCCCGGAATCATCATAGGGAGATATGTATGACGTACTGGGGACACTTCTGCCCCGGGATCATCACAGGGAGATATGCATGAGGTACTGTGGACTTTTTTTCCCCGGAATCATCATAGGGAGATATGTATGACGTACTGGGGACTCTTCTGCCCCGGAATCATCACATGGAGACATGCATGAGGTACTGGGGACTTATTCTGTCCCGGAAATCCCACAGGTTGCTATGAGGAAACAGAATTATGTACAACCAATGATTAACACAGTGGGTTGAATAATACCTTGAACAGTATTTCAGATATATAGTGGTGTGTCATATTGATGTGGGAGGAAACAATCCGAGGGACAATCTGACAGTTTTAGGTCTCTTGCATACCTAAGGGGTGCAATTATGCACACTGAATTTCATCACCATAGACAACTTGGACACCTGTGCCTTCAAGAAATGATAACAGAGGTCTTTTATATATCTAAAACACAGCATTTATTGTCATAATTTGAAATATATCTAAAATATATGTCATGTAAAATTTAAAGTCATATATTATGTACAGACAGACCAGAAGAATTGTGAAACTGACATCCAGCATTGGCAAAAGCCACTGAGGTGTGTCGGTAGTTAAATCTTGCACTTTGTAGACACACAGAAGGAATGTTACTTACAATGTAGACAGTAAGTTATAGCTCATTGAATACAGCAATGAATCCACAAAGGGAACTGGTCACATAAGGCTGTTTCGTATCACTTGCTTTGTCCCTTCTTTCTTATAAGTTGGTTTACAGATTTCATTTTTCAAAAACTTTTGACAGTGTTTGAATAAAAAATAGAAAGACTCTTCAATTCTACACAAAGACAAGAGTTATCATGGGCTTTATTCGTACTACTGGTACTGTGTCCATTGAAATTACATCTTCTGAAATGCCTCTTACAGGTGCCACTTCTCCAATTATTTTGCTTCAGTTTCTGTTAGAATATATGGCTGGCTGCATGAGAGAAAATAATTCAAATTACCTTTTTCCCTTTTGGTATTTTGTAAGATATGACATAATGTTAGATATTTTAGTATTGGCGTTTACAAAGGAACATTCAGCAAACACCAATTGTCTCCTTCAGAGAGTCAATTTGTCATTTGTTTATTTCATAAGCGAGATTATCAGGCTTGGAATTTTAAAAAAGCTTTATAGTAGAATTTAAATTTTTCTACTTCCTGATGTTTAAAAACTAAGTAATGAAAAATAGAAGGCCCAACAAAATTTCAGTGATAATAAAACAACAATAAAACATGGGAAATTATGACAACTACACTTCATAACACTGTCACATGATACTGGTATGTGAAACATACCTCCTCATGGATTACAACTTTGGGTTCAGTGCATATAGCGATGTTTTGATGTAGATTCTAACACCTTTATCTCACACCTTAATCCAGCTTGATAACATTTCGAAATGTTGTTATGCACTAAACCAGAAGTTGAATCCATAAAGTTGTACGTTACCATATTTGCCTAATATACTTTCAAAAGATCACTCCAATAGAATATGTTGGACCATTATCCTCTGCATGCAGAAACAGCACAAGAAGGTTGGTCCCTAAAAGTTGCATTATGAGTTATTATTCATAAAAATCATCAAAATTGTTGATCACATTTCGATAATGTATTTCAATATATCTTGTTTTCTCCATTACAATGCATAGAAACTGTCAATACATTCACTGTTTCACAACTGAACATGTCCCTGAATTTGCTGCTCTCAGTTAAAGCACAGGAATCAGAAGATGTGATTTTGATGATTTTTACGTATTATTTAGTATAAAAAAAACCTCCCAATGTTTTCTTCTAAAATAAAATTACTTCATCATCAAAATAAGAATTTCCAATTCCTGTGATTGAAGGCACCTGTAAAACACACTCAACAACTGACATAATTCAAATAAATTCAAGACTTGGCATATGAAAAAAATAACTTTTATCACAACTATATCATTCATAATGCACAAGAGATTATTGATAAAATACTTCCAAGTTAAAACAAATTTCTTAAAATACACTGATCAACAATGAATAAATCCCAGTACTCCCATAAAAGACAAATCATCAATTAAGATAGTGTGTACTATTTACAATCATCATATTCACTGCTAACTTCCTGTCAATTTCATATTTGTTCTACAACCTGTTTATCTACCATAGTTAAAAGCCATTTTAAAAGCCAGTTGAAGGAGCTAGTAAATGTCTGAGGGCTAGGTTGTCAAGGCACTGTGGATTCTGTTTCATGAGTTCAAAACCCAGGGTCTGCCCTTTAGCATCTATGGTTTGTCTGCACCATAACCATGCTCTTAGGTATGATCCAAATGGTAAAAGTCTGTGACCTGCATCACTTTCCTCCACATTATGCTGCCGTGATCTATCGAAGTTCAAGTGGCATTAAACTCACTCACTCACTCATTCACTCTGAAGGTAACAAGCAGGCAATCAGAAGCTGGGATTTATCTTAGAATCCAAACTAAGTGCCCATTGGATTTTGTTTCAAAGTTATATTTTCTTCCCAAATTCAGAGGTATTTTCAACATCTTTCTTTAACACTGCGTCCAATGCATTAATGTAAAACTAACCTTTAAAATCTTTTTCTCTGTACTGACTCATTACAAGTGAAGTACAAGTCGGCACTACAAAACTTAAACACTAGTCAGATCCATAATAGCATGAATTGGGAACTTTTTAATTTCAAATTGGGAATTAATACTGATATTTGCTGCAGATTTGATGGCAAATATTGGGCTCTGAGAAGGCCTAGATAAATCCCTGATAGAAGGCACCAGCTGGTCAATGTGATAACAATATGATGATAACACTGACACTACATGGAATTAAAACATGGGAAATTATTACAATGAGTATTGCACAAAGAATGATCCTGCTGATACAATGCACACACACACACATCTATATGTACCGTTAACGTGGCAATGTACCCTCCTGCATCATGAAGCACTACAAGCAATCACTGACATCAACCAATAAAGAGTCAACATTTAACGTGTTTCCAAAACTGTTTCAGTACAATGAAACAAAAACAAAATGCATTATTTTCTATTGCTACCATAACACATCATCAAAACTATCTCTGTTACAGGTATCTGTAGGTAGGTCGGAGTTTTTAGGATGGACAGAAAAACGTGACTAAATGGGGCACATATACCGTATACAGCTGTCAATAAAGGGACCCCAGGTACAAGGCAACCCCACTGTACAAGCCTTCAAAATCCATGCTACTTTATATATATTCATCGATAAAGCGAATCGGAATGAAGCATGTCACCAGCTCATATGCAAAACAACATGTTTGTCTTCCACAGAAAAAAATATGTGGTATTTCTGGTGTTACGTGCTCACAGTGATGTCTTTGAGTTGGCGGGAAAAAACATCAAAACTCTTCAAAAGCCTTTTGAAAGCCCCCTAATTCTAGGTACAAAAAACTTGCCTTACACACAGCGATAAAAAGTATTTTCTACAGCCAAACACTATGTTAAGTCATTATGTTACACAAAACAAAGGCTTTTGTTTTTTATTATGACCAGTGTAGAGAAACTGCTCAAACGTTGTGTTTAAGCCAGGTTACAATTTGGGAAAGTATCAACATAAATCTTATAAATACAGCTTGCAAAGTTTGAATCATATTACAGCTACATGATGCTCTTCTCACTCTGATGTGTCGTAGGGGTCAGTTGAGTGTTATCACCAAGGAATGCATGCATTGTGCCTGTTATGGTGAAGTGAAGGCAATGTCAAGCATTGTCAATTTTTGGGATAATGGAATAAAATGCCAAATTTGATCTGTTACAAAAATGTAAAAAATGAATCAAAATACAATTTTCTGAAAATTCTCCTTTCAAAACTATAAACAAGAAGTTTTCCTTTAAGTACATCCATGGCATATTTTAAACACACAGAATTTGAACATAGAAAACATGAAATGAATAATTACAAATACTTATATACAGATAAACAAACCAAAGCAATGATACAAAACAAATGACAAGCAAGCCTGCACCATACTTAAGAATGTTTATAGCAAGTATGTATAACACTCGTATCGACCTAACAGTTTCTGACGAGACAAGTTACAGATGAACAATATAGAAAATATCACATTTATTAAAATGTATTCTAAATCTGCTGTTAAAAAGTTAATTTCTCTTAATACAGCAAAACTAAATGCCATCCGTTAAAGCATTTTCAACCTTGTTTAGTTAAGTATTGACATCATCAAGTTTGAATTAAGGAGATTAATTGAGAGAAAAAATAGAAATTTAACAGAAAGAAATTTGAAATTTCAACATATTTCGCTGAATGAAAACATACATGTTTAATCCAAAATATACAATACTCTAAACTTGATGAACATGGCTTGAACAGCATGAGGTGCAGGTGGCAATATTTTGAGGAACAGAAACAAATATTGTCTGTCGGTCCCTCACTGGAACTTTCACAAAAAAATATAAGTTGAGAATAAATGTCCCAGTAAGATAGAACTGCAGAGGGTTGGAAATATGGGTAAGCTTTACATGATAATTAGAGTGGAAACACTTGGCATCTTCATGAGAACAGTTAGTGTTGACAGGCTGTTTGATACTGCCAAAGGTTTGCAAGGAAGTGAAGTTAAACAAATAATTTGAGATCACTGACATCCCGCTACCAAATTTTCAACATGAAGTTACACACATCGTATGTTGTATGTGTGTTGTGTGTAAATATTGTGTTTTGTGTGTAAATGTGTGTTGAGTGAGTGTTGTGTTGTGTGAGTGTTGTGTAAATGTTGTGTGTATGTGTATGTGTTTTGTGTGTTGTGTGTGTTTTGTTTGTTGTGTGAGTGTTGTGTGTATTTTGTGTGTGTATGTTTTGTGCGTTGCAGGTATGACATGGTTGATATTCCACTGTGTCATTATTAGGTCAGGAATGTGTTAACAACATGAGGTAACATAGTCTTGTCAAAATACACCAATAATTTTTTTGCTGCTTCTATTCCGGAACCATATGATAGGGCATACACAAGAACTAGGGCAACAGTGTTGGTATCAAGTTAAGATCCAAGTGAATTACCTACTGATTTATTCATATTGCAAACACAAGATTGAGGTTGATACACAAATAGCTATATCTTTATTTCAATTTTTAAAAACATCCATAGAAAATATTCCTGTCACCAAAATATCTACTTTGAAAACTCTTGAACTTTGGTTAAATCATGTATTTGGAAGTCAACACCAACCTTTGACCTCTGCACATCCATCCTCAATTTATCATCATTGTCATCTTGTATTTAAGTTTGTTGAAGTTTAGATTTTGGTAGAATGGTATAAAACCTTTGACCTTATTTGTCTTTGTGTGCTTTAATATATATATTGTAATCAATCTGCCAGGTCACCCAACCTGTACAGTTGAAACTAGTTGAAAGGGGAGAAAATTCACACGGAAACTGCAACAATTGTTTAAGGATTCTCCTTCCACATTCACACTCTCACGGACACAAGCACCCAACAACTGATGAGTATATATTTCTATCAGAATCTCCAAAAACAAAAAGCAACAACTCAAATTTTCTTTGTGAACAATACGATTTACATTCTACAAGTCACTACAACACTGTTAGCTACAAGTCCTGCATCAGTGGCCAACTTTGTAACAAGCTTGTAACTCGTATACAAGGAGGTCAAAGTCAGGAGATATTTACACACATATGAAACCTGCGTTTCACTATCCTGTCCACATGTTTTGCGCTGGCCCTGATGTTGTATATCAGACATTGTATTTTGTAGCCTGTCCACTCCTCCTCGGTCACTTGCAACCAAGGCATCTGATTAGTTAATCTACATAATCTACTTGGCTGGATCTTTACCAAGGATCTGATTTGCTGGTTGTTTCATTGTATCTGATTGGTTGTTCTTTTCAATGTTTTGGAGTGGCTGCCTATTTTTAGTGTTTTAATTATCAGCTGTCTCTTAAATACATCCAATAAGATAGCTCCTCTCAAAGCATCTGATTGCCTGGTTCTTCTCAATCTATCTGGTTGGCTGGCTCTTCTATATCCATCTGATTGGCTGGCTCTTCTATATCCATCTGATTGGCTGGCTCTTCTCAATCCATCTGATTGGCTGGCTCTTCTATATCCATCTAAATGGCTGGCTCTTCTATGTCCATCTGATTGGCTGGCTCTTCTCAATCCATCTGATTGGCTGGCTCTACTCAATTCATGTTATTGCCTTGAAGAACTGACAAGAACCACCAAAATAACAGCTAAAATTCAACCACTTTGGGAGGTTGATTGTATTTCAATTCTTCCTTAGTCTTTGACAGGTCCGTGACTGTCATTGTTATTTAACCACAGGATCAACCGATGGTCACTTCTTATGTACAATTAACATGTCATCATCAGGATGCACCGAGGAGTTGCAGCTTGGATCAGTGTAGAGGATGCCTTGGCACACAGCAAGATGAGCAAAGTCACTTTGTTGTGTTGTGATGATTTCCATGAATGAATGAATGAATGAATGGAATGACTTTTGGTTCTGTGCTTCAGGAGTCATACCGCAACACATGATCCGCTTTGTATTATTAATATGCATTCCTTGTACATATTACTTAAGCATGGCCAGTTAATTTCATGAATGAACGGAAAGACTATTGGTTGTGCTGCAGATTGTCAGGGGCCTCATCATACCAGTAAAACACATGACCCTCTTTCTTATTAATATGCATCACATATTTCTGAAACAAGGCCAGTTCTTTCCATATGCATGTGACTCATACATAGTCAAATCAATTTGAAATGCATTAACCACATAACTGTGGCCTCTAGTTACTACAACTGGACAGGGTTCCACTATATAGACACACTACACGTCTACACGGGCTGGAGGAGCATTGGGCAAGTCCTGCAGGGTCTCCAGCAGCTGTAGGCTGACCACTGGCTTTGTAGTCCAGTGTGAAGCAGGCTCACAACTCTTCACAGTGTCCAATGATTCACTGGCAAGGTTCCCAGATGGAAGTACCGGGATGAGCTTCAGGAGAATGATGCCAGAATGCCTTCAGGATGCTGAAATGACATTTAGGAATGTTGCTGTAACTGACAAATCTCAGATTTCAAGGAACCATTAAGCGAAAATGCACCAAAATATATTTTGGGTAATGAAGTTTTGCATTGAAAAAAGAGGTCCTAATGAGGGGGGATGTGATTATATATTTAATGACGTGTCCCCTGAAAGGTTACTGTGACAGTTAAAGTGTTTGTCTTAGGCTTAAAAAAAATAAAAGGCTGGTTCTCAGGAAATGGTTTTTGAAATATAGTGCGGGCGGGCAGGCAGTGTCTTTTTTATTTCTTTTTCTTTTTTGTTATTGTTCAAACCAGTATGTAACTAATTAAACAGATGTGTAACCAAATAAACAGTCGTGTACAATCAGCCTGGGAAAGGGCCTCCCTACAAAATGTATTCCTTGATGAGTAAAATACTGGAATACAGTATTTGAGTACCTTTGGACTTGGAATATTTAAGGATTTTTTTTTTTTTTTTTTTAATAGAAATAAAAACGAAATGTGCATTGAACCTTATGATGGTGCGCACGGTGCCTGAGAACCAAGACTGTTATTTTTTTTAGCCTTATATACAAACCTTGGCAACAAGCAATACAGATGCCCACTTCAACATTTCAATCTCGGACGTGAAACACAGACTCCGTCCGAAGTAGCCCCTGTGGAGGAATGAATGATGACATGAGGAGGACGTGCTTATCTTGTGTTTTCATCTTGGAAAAAGAGGCAGGATACAGGTGTATACATCATTACATATACAGGTATACTCCCTTTTTCTTTCATATAGGAACTATTTTTTATTCCAACCACAACCAGATGTATACTCTGTTTGCTCCATGTTCACTTGGTTATTTTGTTTGATGTTTAACACTGCACGAAGCAGCATTCCAACTATATCCAGGGATTGACAGCATGAGCATCAATCCACACAATTGGGATACAATGACATGTATCAACTAAGTCAACCTGACTACCCAATACATTTAGTCGCCTCATATGACAAGCATAGATAGCTGGTGCCCTATATTCTTACCCAGAATCCCATGGGTTTCAGCTGTATGCCCACATACAGACATATTTACTTGACCCTTATCTACACGTCTGTAAAATCTCAACATAAACATTACTTGTTACGTCAACAATTTATATCACTGAAAAGTTTGAGATCATAACTTTCAAATCCTAAACACGAACATTATCAACATGAAGATGATTTTACCAGAACTGAACCCAGAGTTGTTATTCAAAGTCACATGTACCAATACAAACACATGATGGTGTATCAATGACGATCCGGAGTAGAATTGGTCTTCAGCAACCCATGCTTGTCGTATGAGGCGACTAACGGGATCAGGTGGTCAGACTCGGTGGTTTGGTTGATGCATGTCATCCTTTCCCAATTGCGTGGATCTATGCTCATGATGTCAATCACTAGATTGTCTGGTACAGACTTGATTACTTACAGAGTGCCGTCATATAGCTGGAATATTGCTGAGTGTGGCGTTAAACAACAAACAAACAAACAACAACAATATTTACTTTAAGAAGGTCTTTAATGGGGTGGTGGGATGGCCTAGTGGTTAAAGCGTTTGCTCAACACACCAAAGTTCTGGGTTTAATTCCCCACATGGGTACAATGCGTGAAGCCCATTTCTGGTGTCCCCTGCCATGATATTGCTGGAATATTGCTACAAACTGTAACACCAGACTCACTCCTGACTTTACCACACCACCTGTACACTGTTTGCTACTCACCGGACACACTTTTCCCCCTTCACAATGAATGTCAACCCATGTGAGGACCTGAAGCAGAGAAGCAGTACAACCTCAACTCCAAAACTTGGATCACTTCATGATAGATTAATCATTATGAGCAGGGTATGAAACTCCAAAAAATTTCAGCCAGACCACAGGACTGGCTAGCTGAAATACTTGCCAGCCCTGACCAAAACCTGCCTGCCCACTATAATCATATGTTTCTCAGGATAATTTAATTAAAACTTTAAATCGAATTCATTGAACATGAAGTAATGCAAGAAAAGAAATAGCAAACACTTTTTAGGTTAGATTTGTATTTAATATCCTAGAATACATCATGTAAATAATGCTTATCATCCGGAAATATTTAGAATATTTTTACATATGAAATATAACCCGACCGTCGGGCAGGGGGATTTGAAAATCTGGCAGCCCGAGTTGAAATCAACCCGTCTCGGACGGTCGGGCAGGCAGGTATTTCGAACACTGTTATGAGGTGATCATCTTGCTAATGAAAATATCTTGCATAGAAAATAATGATTCCTGATCATGTAATATCAATGAACATTAATCAGTGTTGGTCTTAATGATTCATTTGCAAAATAATGTTGCTATACACACTTTAAACATGCACACAATTGTTTACACAACACTCCTTATGTTTTTGACAAACTTGACACAAATAACACATTGAGAAATAAATGTCTTACATTTGCTGTCATTCATTTCTACTGACAGATATAGCTCCTGGTTGTGCATGGAAGATCTGTTGGAAGTAGCACAGATTTACAGCATGTTTCATCTGAATAAATTTACTTACGGCTTCCGGTTGTGCATCGATGATCTGTTGGAAGTATCACAGTTGGACTGCATGTTTTATCTGAAAAAACTTACTTACGGCTGCTAGTTGAGCATTGATGTTCTGTTAGAAGTAACAGTCTTACTGCATGTTTTATCTGAATGAACTTACTTTCCTCCGGACCTGCGGCTGTCGATTCCCAGGTAGATAACCATATCTTCTACATTCCAGGAGTGCAGCTGATGTGTACCCTGAAACATATTCCTCAAATGAAGTGACCATTGCTTTATAGAACACACCCACATTATCTGTGTGGGGATGTTGTCATGCTTTAGTCATAAACAGGGTTTGCACATGCTTTGTTAGGCCATGAACTATGAGGTCGGTCTTGAAAAGGCCTTTTGCCAAGAAAATGGAAAATGTGCCTTGAAAATTGATTTTCTGTTTTGTCTGTTTGTTGCACTCTATTGCACTCTAATGTTCCAGCTATTTGACAGTGGTCTGTAAATAATCAAGTCTGGCCAAGACAATTCATTGATTGATATCATGAGCATTAATCTACGCAATTTGGACATGCATTAACCAAGTCAGCAAGTCTGACCACCCGTTAGTCGCCTCTTACGACAAGTATAGTCGTCTTTTAAAGCAAGCATGGGCTGCTGAAGACCTATTCCTCCCAGATCCTCAGGGGTCTGATTTTCTGTACTGAAATAATGGTAGACCTCTTATTACATGCAAGATTTTACACCACAATGAGACAGGCTCAAAGTGCATGACATTCTTACTTCCTTCAATGGACCAGTGAGCATTCAAATTGCATTCTCAACCCCCTGGGGACCATTCAACCCACACTGCCTGTTAGGGTCTAGGGGTTACTATCTCATCCTACCTGGTACCCATTTGGTGTTGAGTGAAGTCACTGAAATTTCTTGGAAATAACCTGTTCTTTTGAAAGGTATTTTCTTCAACCTATTAAATGTAATTTGATGCAAGAGAAACATTTACCTTTGAATCTTTGAAACACACCAGTTTCCCCTGTTTTAACTGAAAGAAAAACTTGGAGAACTTTTTTTTTTCACTGAACCTGACCTCTCCAATCAAGGCTCTAGATGGATCCAGCTGGAAATAGTCAAATGAAGTCAGATGATATAGCATAGATGTGTCAAATCAGTTTTCAGTATCCAAATGAGCCAGTGGTTATTTTGAATAATTGACAAATTCCTCATAAGGCCAAAGAGTTTTAGCCCAAATAACTAAATGCAAGAGGGGGAAAATGCCGGTCACTGATTTTTATTCTGCATTATGCACAACCACATTTGATGATTCATTGTTTTTTGGGGAAAATGGTTGGTTGGTTTGTTGTAGATAATTGAGTCTGGACCAGACAATACAGTGATTGATATCATGAGCATCGATCCACGCGATTGGGATACGATGACATGCATCAAACAAGTCAGAGAGCCTTACCACCTGATCCCATTAGTCGCCTCTTACTATAAGCATAGTTGCCTTTTACGGCAAGCATGGGTTGCTGAAGACCTATTCTACCCCGGATCTAGACGGGTCTGGGGAAATAGTATACTTTAGCTTCAAGAAATACACTTGAAGAGGTATTTTCTGTGTTAAAACCAATGGTTAAACGATATCTTGGGATGAAGCAGGGTAAAACTTATGCTCTCTTCGTGGAGTCAAAGAAAGTGTTTGATCTCATGGATGGGATAAGCTATGGTCTGTGCTTAAACGGAATGCCATGTCTTCAAAGATGTATGAGGCATTAGAGTCTATTTATGATAGCGTCAAGGCTTGTGTAAGGGGTAAGTGGGTGATGTCAGACCATCTTTCAGAACATCTTTCTTCAATAACAGCCATATCTGTAGATGAAGTTCCAAAGCGTGGAACATTGGCAAATAATCTAGCAATAGTCTGAAGGATGTCAGTCATATGATTTATGTAAACTGAACAATGGGGAACACTGGGGACCCCCTGTTTACTCTAGCTGCTCAACATGTTCTTGACATCAGTTGTGTTTCTGATCCTGGTCCAATCATGACTAACTGTGCCAACAATGCTGTTGTCATTGTTGCTGACCACACCAGTTTTATAGTGAGTAAGTGAGAATGGTTTTACACCGCTTTAAGCAATATTCCAGCAATATCATGGCGGGGGACACCAGAAATGGGCTTCACACATTTTACCCATGTCGGGAATCGAACCCGTGTCTTTGGCGTGACGAGCGAATGCTTTAACCACTAGGCTACCCGACCTCCCCACTAGTTTTATAAGATTACAATCTCTGTACAGATGTTCACATTACTAACCGCTGACTGTAGTTTCTGCAGCGTCTCCAAGTTTTTCATGCAGATTTTGGCGTTTGTGCGGATGTCTTCTTCCAGGGTTCCCCATGTTGTCACAACAGGAAGTACAAGTTCCGACAGAGGTAGGGGGCGCTCTGGAACATTTCATCTTTTATTACAGATGTGTGATCAAGTTTGTAATGCTTACAACTATGTATCCTAAATCAGCATCTCTAAAATCATAATATTTACCATTAAAATTTCATTGCCTCATTAAATATGTGCAGAAATTCCACGCAAGCATATTTACCATCCTGAGAGTGGCTTACCTAGTGAGCCCTCCAGGATCATCTCGCTCATCATGAACTGGCCATTCATATTCTTCTTGCTCTTCACAGCCGCCATCAGGGATTGGACGTCATCACAGCTGGATACCTGCAACAACCCAGTCTGTCAGTGATGTTTAACACCACAGTTGGCAATATTCCAGATGCAACAACCCAGTCTATCAGTGATGTTTAACACCACAGTTGGCAATATTCCAGTCATACCATCACAGCTGGATACCTGCAACAACCCAGTCTGTCTGTGATGTTTAACACCACAGTTGGCAATATTCCAGCTGCAACAACCCAGTCTGTCAGTGATGTTTAACACCACAGTTGGCAATATTCCAGCTGCAACAACCCAGTCTGTCTGTGATGTTTAACACCACAGTTGGCAATATTCCAGCTGCAACAACCCAGTCTGTCAGTGATGTTTAACACCACAGTTAGCAATATTCCAGCTGCAACAACACAGTCTGTCAGTGATGTTTAACACCACAGTTGGCAATATTCCAGCTGCAACAACCCAGTCTGTCTGTGATGTTTAACACCACAGTTGGCAATATTCCAGCTGCAACAACCCAGTCTGTCAGTGATGTTTAACACCACAGTTGGCAATATTCCAGCTGCAACAACCCAGTCGGTCAGTGATGTTTAACACCACAGTTAGCAATATTCCAGCTGCAACAACCCAGTCTGTCAGTGATTTTTAACACCACAGTTGGCAATATTCCAGTCATACCATCACAGCTGGATACCTGCAACAACCCAGTCTGTCAGTGATGTTTAACACCACAGTTGGCAATATTCCAGATGCAACAACCCAGTCTGTCAGTGATGTTTAACACCACAGTTGGCAATATTCCAGTCATACCATCACAGCTGGATACCTGCAACAACCCAGTCTGTCTGTGATGTTTAACACTACAGTTGGCAATATTCCAGATGCAACAACCCAGTCTGTCAGTGATGTTTAACACCACAGTTAGCAATATTCCAATCATACCATCACAGCTGGATACCTGCAACAACCTAGACAGTCAGTGGAGTTTAACACTCCAGTTGGCAATATGATTTGATTACTCAAGCACAGCTGACGCAGACAACTACTCACTTTGAATATCTCCTCAGTATTGTGGACGTAGACTGAAACGATGATACTGTCTATCACAGCAGACTGAAACAGTACACATCAAGATAACATCAAGAAAACATCAAGTACCCCATCAAGTACATCATCAAGTACAAGCTTGCAGTAGTAGAGACATTGTGACCATCTGAATACCATTATTGGCAACTCTAGTGACAAGCTTGCAGTAGTAGAGACACTGTGGCCATCGGATCACCATTATTGGTAACTATAGTGACAAGCTTGCAGTAGTAGAGACATTGTGGCCATCGGATCACCATTATTGGTAACTCTTGTGACAAGTTTGCAGTAGTAGAGACATTGTGACTATCGGATCACCATTATTGGTAACTCTTGTGACAAGTTTGCAGTAGTAGAGACATTGTGACTATCGGATCACCATTATTGGCAACTATAGTGACAAGCTTGCAGTAGTAGAGACATTTTCAGGCCGATATTTTCATAAAGTTGAATTATTTGATAAAATTTGCATGCTACTAGCTATTTCAGGACAAAATATTGTGAATACTAACCATCCTCTGTTTCTTCAGCTTCTCTCTTATTTCATTTTCTGCCATTGCCATTCTGTCATCTTTCTGCCGTTCTTGTTCTTGGACCTACCCAAACAGACAAATGTGGCATTCAGATCAGGCCAAAAAGACTGATGTCACATCCATGGGCAGACAAACTGTTGACAGGCCTACTGTTGTCAGATATTTAGAAAACCTATGAAGATTTTGACATAAACTGCAGATTAGAAAGAGCTGTACTTACAATCACTTGTGGACATGTCCAGCTTTAAGCTAGATATGTTTGCAAGCACCTGCACAACCAGACAGCATGACCATCAGGTCACATTCTGTAGTTACTTGATACCTTACCAGTAGAAAGTTGGAAATACCCAGACATTATCAGTAACAGACACATTTTGTGCTGAAATGAATTGTATGCAAATACTCTAAACTAATAATGATACAAACCAAACACACACAGAAGTACAGGTTGTTGTTCGGCAAACCTAATTGTCTTGCTATCGAAATTGTCCAAATCCGATTACTTTCCTGCTGGCCTACTATGAGCATCTGTTTTGAGACTGAACATGCTGAGCAGAGTTTCCTGAATAAAATTCCCATATGATTTGTTTGTTTGTTTTTTAACGCCGCACTCAGCAATATTCCAGCTCTATGACGGTGGTCTGAAAGTAATCGAGTCTGGACCAGACAATCCAGTGATTGACATGATGAGCATTGATCTACACAATTGGGATACGATGACATGCATCAACCAAGTCAGTGAGCCTGACCACCCGATCCCGTTAATCACCTTTTTCGATAAGCAAAGTCACCTTTTTGGGCAAGCATGAGTTGCTGAAGACCTATTCTACCCCGGATCTTGACGGGTCTGGAGAAAATGGTATACTTTTGCTTCAAGAAATACACTTGAAGAGGTATTTTTTCGCCATCTTGGGAAGAAACAGGGTAAAACTTATGCTCTCTTCGTGGAGTCAAAGAAAGTGTTTGATCTCGTTTATGGGGTAAGCTATGGTCTGTGCTTAAACAGAATGTCATGTCTTCAAAGATGTATGAGGCATTAGAGTCTATTTATGATAGCGTCAAGGCTTGTGTAAGGGGTTAGTGGGGGATGTCAGATCAGTCTTGATTTCATGGATCTTCACGGGTTCAATTATGAAACTTACTAACAAAGATGATGCTTACCTTCAGAAGGTACTCATGATTCTTGATGATGTCTGTCAACACACCCATTTCTAACGCCAGGGCACTCCCCATGCCAGTGACACACTCCTAAACAGATGCATAAGAAATGAATTGAGTGTGAGTGAGTGAGTTGGTTTTAACATCATTTTGAACAGCTATATCGCAGCATGTCAGCTTAATGTGGGAGGAAAAAGCCCGAAGTGATGAAGGTCTCAGACCTTAGCCAATTCGGTGAAACCCACAAGCATGGGTATGGTGCTAGAAACATAATCGAGGCGAACCGGGATTGGAACCCACAATCACAGATTTCTGGCGTGCCCAAGGGATGCAACTCACAGTAAATTGCGGCGCCTTAGACAACTGGGCCACCCGTGCCCCCTCATAAGAAATGAATCCTGTCAAGATAAACTGATAAGGGATTAACATTTGATATTATTGGTTGCCAGCAACAACTTCAGCCCGAACACAAGCCATTATATATGCCAAAATTAAGTATCATGGGATTGTATCCTGACTCTAGTATCTCAAGAAGCCCTGGAGAAGAAACACTTCCATTAAGACTACACATGGTGGCTGAGACTTGACAATCAAATTGTCTTCCTACCTGGTACCCATTAACTGGCTGGTGTTTGCTTATTGTTTAATGCTGCACTCAGGGGAGGTGAGGTGAAATGGGGTTTAAAGTCGCATTCAAGATTATTGCAATTATATAGTGACGTGCATGCATGTGTGTGGCTGCTTGTACTAGTCCGGAGTAATGCTGTTTTTTACGACCGGCATAGGTTCATCAGAGTTAATGTTATTGTAAGGGTGTCTAGTGGAGATTCTGGGTTAGAGTAGTTGACTGTGTGTCATCATACCCTTACAGCGTGGATTGTTGATCACCATATCGATCACTGGACTGTCTGTCTGACACTTGATTAATTCAGGCCGCTGCCATATAGCTGTGATATTGCTCAGTATGGTGTTAACCAACAAACAAATAATGCTATTGTGCTATCAACACTATACAGATGCTTCACCCATTCAGCCAACAAAAAAACAAAGCTTGCCTAATTATGAACATTGCACAATTAGCTTTTGATCAAGACAAAATGTCTACAGCTATTTGGCACAAACTGACACAAAACCGCAGCCATATTATTTCATATGTGTGCAAATCCCAGAAGGAACAATAAATCATTTTTGCTTGTGATTAAGCCACACTTTCACAGGAAATCAAAACTCTAATTTGATGAACACACAATTTTCATGAATGACAGTACAACATAACATTCTCCTGAAGGAGGTTCACTGACTCACCATATTGTCAGTCCTCATCAGCGACGGGGCGAAGCATGTCGCCAGGTTCTCTTGTGACATACGGTTCTCACTGCTGAACTGAGACACCCTGGAACAGACAATCAGGAAACTAGATCTCACTGAGACACCCTGGAAAAGTCAATTAGGAAACTAGATCTTACTACCACACCCTTGAACAGACAACTAGGAAACTAGATCTCACTGGGACACCCTGGAACAGACAATTAGGAAACTAGATCTTACTGCCACACCCTGGAACAGACATTTCGGAAACTAGATCTCACTAAGACACCCTGGAACAGACATTTAGGAAACTAGATCTCACTGAGACACTCTGGAACAGTCAATTAGGAAACTAGATCTCACTACCACACCCTGGAACAGACATTTAGGAAACGAGGTCTCACTACGACACCCTGGAACAGACAATTAGGAAACTAGATCTCACTACGACACCCTGGAACAGACATTTAGGAAACTAGATCTCACTGAGACACTCTGGAACAGTCAATTAGGAAACTAGATCTCACTACCACACCCTTGAACAGACATTTAGGAAACTAGAACTTACTACCACACCCTGGAACAGACATTTAGGAAACTAGATCTCACTAAGACACCCTGGAACAGACATTTAGGAAACTAGATCTCACTAAGACACCCTGGAACAGACATTTAGGAAACTAGATCTCACTGAGACACTCTAGAACAGTCAAATTAGGAAACTAGATCTCACTATCACACCCTGGAACAGACATTTAGGAAACAAGATCTCACTACGACACCCTGGAACAGACAATTAGGAAACTAGATCTCACTGAGACAGCTGCGAATAGACAATTAGGAAACTAGATCTCACTGAAACACCCTGAACAGTTAATTAGGAAACTAGATCTCACTAGGACACCCTGGAACAGACAATTAAGAAACTAGATCTCATTGAGACACCCTGGAACAGACAATTAAGAAACTAGATCTCATTGAGACACCCTGGAACAGACAATTAGGAAACTAGATCTCACGAAGACATCCTGGAACAGACAATTAGGAAACTAGATGTCACGAAGACATCCTGGAACAGACAATTAGGAAACTAGATCTCACGAAGACACCCTGGAACAGACATTTCGGAAACTAGATGTCACGAAGACATCCTGGAACAGACAATTAGGGAACTAGATGTCACGAAGACACCCTGGAACAGACAATTAGGAAACTAGATCTCACAAAGACACCCTGGAACAGACATTTAGGAAACTAGATGTCATGAAGGCACCCTGGAACAGACAATTAGGAAACTATATCTTACTACCACACCCTTGAACAGACAATTAGGAAACTAGATCTTACTGCCACACCCTGGAACAGACATTTCGGAAACTAGATCTCACTAAGACACCCTGGAACAGACATTTAGGAAACTAGATCTCACTAAGACACCCTGGAACAGACATTTAGGAAACTAGATCTCACTAAGACACCCTGGAACAGACATTTAGGAAACTAGGTCTTACTACCACACCCTGGAACAGAAATTTAGGAAACTAGATCTCACTAAGACACCCTGGAACAGACATTTAGGAAACTAGATCTCACTAAGATACCCTGGAACAGACATTTAGGAAACTAGATCTCACTGAGACACTCTGGAACAGTCAATTAGGAAACTATATCTCACTACCACACCCTGGAACAGACATTTAGGAAACTAGGTCTTACTACCACACCCTGGAACAGACATTTAGGAAACTAGATCTCACTAAGACACCCTGGAACAGACATTTAGGAAACTAGATCTCACTAAGACACCCTGGAACAGACATTTAGGAAACTAGATCTCACTGAGACACTCTGGAACAGTCAATTAGGAAACTAGATCTCACTACCACACCCTGGAACAGACATTTAGGAAACTAGATCTCACTACGACACCCTGGAACAGACAATTAGGAAACTAGATCTCACTGGGACACCCTGGAACAGACAATTAGGAAACTAGATCTTACTGCCACACCCTGGAACAGACATTTTGGAAACTAGATCTCACTAAGACACCCTGGAACAGACATTTAGGAAACTAGATCTCACTGAGACACTCTGGAACAGTCAATTAGGAAACTAGATCTCACTACCACACCCTGGAACAGACATTTAGGAAACGAGGTCTCACTGAGACACCCTGGAAAAGTCAATTAGGAAACTAGATCTTACTACCACACCCTTGAACAGACAATTAGGAAACTAGATCTCACTGGGACACCCTGGAACAGACAATTAGGAAACTAGATCTTACTGCCACACCCTGGAACAGACATTTCGGAAACTAGATCTCACTAAGACACCCTGGAACAGACATTTAGGAAACTAGATCTCACTGAGACACTCTGGAACAGTCAATTAGGAAACTAGATCTCACTACCACACCCTGGAACAGACATTTAGGAAACGAGGTCTCACTACCACACCCTGGAACTGACAATTAGGAAACTAGATCTCACTAAGACACCCTGGAACAGACATTTAGGAAACTAGATCTCACTGAGACACTCTGGAACCGTCAATTAGGAAACTAGATCTCACTACCACACCCTGGAACAGACATTTAGGAAACTAGATCTCACTAAGACACCCTGGAACAGACATTTAGGAAACTAGATCTCACTAAGACACCCTGGAACAGACATTTAGGAAACTAGATCTCACTGAGACACTCTGGAACAGTCAAATTAGGAAACTAGATCTCACTACCACACCCTGGAACAGACATTTAGGAAACAAGATCTCACTACGACACCCTGGAACAGACAATTAGGAAACTAGATCTCACTGAGACAGCTGCGAATAGACAATTAGGAAACTAGATCTCACTGAAACACCCTGAACAGTTAATTAGGAAACTAGATCTCACTAGGACACCCTGGAACAGACAATTAAGAAACTAGGTCTCATTGAGACACCCTGGAACAGACAATTAAGAAACTAGATCTCATTGAGACACCCTGGAACAGACAATTAGAAAACTAGATCTCACGAAGACATCCTGGAACAGACAATTAGGAAACTAGATGTCACGAAGACACCCTGGAACAGACAATTAGGAAACTAGATCTCACGAAGACACCCTGGAACAGACATTTAGGAAACTAGATGTCACGAAGACATCCTGGAACAGACAATTAGGAAACTAGATGTCACGAAGACACCCTGGAACAGACAATTAGGAAACTAGATCTCACGAAGACACCCTGGAACAGACATTTAGGAAACTAGATGTCATGAAGGCACCCTGGAACAGACAATTAGGAAACTAGATCTTACTACCACACCCTTGAACAGACAATTAGGAAACTAGATCTCACTACCACACCCTGGAACAGACATTTAGGAAACTAGATCTTACTGCCACACCCTGGAACAGACATTTCGGAAACTAGATCTCACTAAGACACCCTGGAACAGACATTTCGGAAACTAGATCTCACTAAGACACCCTGGAACAGACATTTAGGAAACTAGATCTCACTGAGACACTCTGGAACAGACATTTAGGAAACTAGATCTCACTGAGACACCCTGGAACAGTCAATTAGGAAACTAGATCTCACTACCACACCCTGGAACAGACATTTAGGAAACTAGGTCTTACTACCACACCCTGGAACAGACATTTAGGAAACTAGATCTCACTAAGACACCCTGGAACAGACATTTAGGAAACAAGATCTCACTAAGACACCCTGGAACAGACAATTAGGAAACTAGATCTCACTACCACACCCTGGAACAGACATTTAGGAAACAAGATCTCACTACCACACCCTGGAACAGACAATTAGGAAACTAGATCTCACTACCACACCCTGGAACAGACATTTAGGAAACAAGATCTCACTACGACACCCTGGAACAGACAATTAGGAAACTAGATCTCACTGAGACAGCTGCGAATAGACAATTAGGAAACTAGATCTCACTGAGACACCCTGAACAGACAATTAAGAAACTAGATCTCACTCCCACACCCTGGAACAGACATTTAGGAAACTAGATGTCATGAAGACACCCTGGAACAGACAATTAGGAAACTAGATCTCACTACCACACCCTGGAACAGACATTTAGGAAACTAGATGGCATGAAGACACCCTGGAACAGACAATTAGGAAACTAGATCTCACTGAGACATCCTGGAACAGATAATTAGGAAACAAAATCCCACCAAGACATAGTCACTTCTTAAGGCAATAATGTGTTGTTGAAGACCTATTCTTACCCGGAATTTTCACAGGGATCACTATTTTGATTTTCATGACACAAGGGATAGTGATGATTTGTGCTTTAACCAACAGTGACTTACATGCATTTCCATTGGCATCAACATAAGAGAGATACAAGCAACTGTCAGCAGTTAGAATGATATCTTTACCATAAACTGAATAAAAACTGAAATAACAGTAAATAATACACTTTGTCTCTTTCATGATGATTAGATTCGCCAGATAACTTTCCAAGTTGCACCCAGACTTGACAAGGGCCACAAGGAATACCATTCTGATAACACCTTAGTTGGAGGGTGACCATTACATTACTCTGCCTCTTTCATTACCTCTTCAAGTGCCTTACTGACCAATGACTGGTAAGAACAAAAACAGTGAGTCCACCCACCATTTGAGATGGATGGAACCCACATATTTCTGGAGAGTTTCGCCGTTTTTGGAAACTGTGTTGTCACATGACTACATCTGATGTCCATTTACCCACCACAGAATTGAATTTAACTTAATATCAGCCTACAGCAGTTGGAAATTGAATAAGGAATGTGTAGGTAACCATGGATATAAAGAATGCTATATTATTTTCTACATATCAACCCTTTAGGGAGGTAGACCAATGACAGATATAGCTGCATTTTAATGGCCAGAGGATGTGACGTCATGGCCATAGGCTTCAGCACTGAATAGCACATTGTGTACGCTGCATGGACAGTTTCTGCAAACTCACCTGTGTAGATGCATCACAAGTTTCTTGAGAGTGTTGTAGTTGATCATGGGCAGTTTCTCCAGGTGAAAGTGGTACCAGCCTAGCTTGTGAGAGTGGTCGCTAACAGCTGTAACATACACACGTGATCAGTGAGTGGACCAGCTACATTGAACGAAACATGCTGATTTACATTTAGTCTCAAGAGAGACAAGTTTTATATCAATGTTATACACTGAAGCTGACATCATGTGCAACGCATAGCTTGAATCACTCTACTGATTCGCTGGCATGATAATGGGGCTCTTGGCAACATTCAACACTTGACCAATGACAACATATAACCCAGTTCCACCATCAGTTAATCCACACCATGACCCACTAACAGGTCACCATGACCCAGCAACAGGTCACCATGACCCCGCATCAGGTCACCATGACCCACTAACAGGTCACCATGACCCCGCATCAGGTCACCATGACCCAGCAACAGGTCACCATGACCCCGCATCAGGTCACCATGACCCAGCAGTGGGTCAGGGGTCGCTAATAGTGTTCAACCCCACATACCCAAATTTTTGAAAATGGACCCCCAATGACAAAATACAACTTAACTTCCTTAATGCCTGTCTTGTTACAGTTGTGTTAATAGTCAAGTTGAACACGTACGTAGCAACATGGCAGATCAACACATTGTCACAAATAAAGATTATAGGGTTATGGTGTCACATACAGTGTCCGAAGTAACTGCCTGCCCGTGGCTGGTAGCTCTTACTGTCGGGCAGCATGAAACTTTCCTTCACTCAGGCAGCTAATTTTAAGATTACTTACGTATTCACTTTTACTATAACTCCTTGTAGATTCTCAAGAAATTGTTCGCATTATTTCAACTGAATCAAGATGTGATTTGTCTCTTATATTTTGCTATTTTTCAACATTTATGGGTCACCTGCCCAACTGTCTTGTTGGATCTTAAATTCTTTTCAAACACTGTTCACATATGGCTTCATGGGATGGCGTTCCAACAATAGACTGACTATGCTGTCTTCACATTGTTCTTCATGTTCTCAGGCAAAAAGAGCACAGCACATTGGATACCTACTCACAACTCGAAATTACTGATTATTGTCTCTCAGCAAGACTTTCAATGGATTCGCTTTGGACAGAAAAATGGTAAACTCATCACTCATTAAATTTTTGATGTTGATTTGGCACAATGTAGAGGTAGAAATTAACAGCATTCAAAAGTGATTTGTACCTGCTACAATGACCTCATTTCTGTGCACTTGTGTAGTCCCTATCGACATGCGACCTACCCCACCAGACTATAGCCCTTACCATTTGAAATACCATCACGAAATATTGCAATTATTAATTAATGAGGAAAGCTGCATGTGTACAGGTACTTATGAAGTAAAAAGGAATATTACTTACTGTTGACAAAAAATGCAAAGTGTGGGTGAGGATCATCAGTCAGGTGACTGTGAGCTATATTTAGCAGCACATCCATCTCAAACTAGGTCAATAGCGAATACTCACATTACCAGTACAAACGGATTAATAATCACGATATTTCATAGCGAGGACTACAGTTAAGTGTTATTTGACACCATCACTGACAGGTAATACTCTATTCTCTAAATGGCACATTCATCATTCTGTTCATCATGCACATCCACAGGATTCAATGAATAATGCCCAAAGACAAAACATCACAGAGCTCATGTACAAAGACATACTTGCAAACCCAGTCAGGAATTAACGAGCATGGAATTTTCAGTGGTAGTGAAAAGGCATCAGGACAAAATCATCTGAGAAATTCACCTCTAATGCACTATATTATAAGCGGTCTGCTGCAGTTGTGAGGGAATGAAAGTTCCACCTTACAATCAACAGTATCACCTCATGTCATGATGTGCTGTATTTGATCAAGTCTCAGATAGACCGGAGGTTGATAGCAGTGATTAACACCATTATTTAAGGATTGACTGTGTTTTCGGTTCATTGAGGTATGAATAAAAAAACAACATGCAAACTGTATGAATCCGCGTAGTTTGAAAGTTTGCACATTCAGACTGTAGCAGATTCTTACTAAAGTTTGCACATTGGTTTTTCAATTCATACCTCAATGAACCGAAAAAAATACACAGTCAATGCTTATAATTAAATTCGACAACACAAAACATGTTTTATCAACAATAGTTTAACCAAAAACAGTTGTATATATCAAAACAGACAAAAATAACGAGATTGATAAACATTCCAGGTGTAGGAATACATACTGTGGCGTGACATGAATCAGGTGATCGTTTAATTTATGCACATAACTTGACACGCCTACGCAGTCAGTAGCCAATCAATGGAGAGCAGGATCAAAACAATGTTCATTGGACCTGTCAATTAAGACAAGAGGCGAAAAGAACTGCAACAGTCAGACTGTAACGAACCGGAAGAAATATGTCCGGGAGAAGGCGGCTGTTTCAAAATACTTGGTCAGTTACCGCCAGATTCAAACATTACTTCCCTGATTACGGTAAAACACAGTTGGAAAAATGCCAGTTAGAAATGAAACCCGAAGACATGAAAGTTGAACCGAGGCGAGCAGAAAAAAACCCAGGCGAGCGAGCCTGGACGTTTGCTGTTTCATTCATTCTCAGCCTTCGGTTTCAAAGGTTTGTTTGGACAATGAATATGCATGAAAGTCGCTAAATGTCCTGTGCATGACGGTACACATGAGCAGAAAGGGAATTCCCTCGACTGTAATATTGGGATTCCCCGACATTCCGAAGTAATAAAAGTAGTGTGCCTCGGTGGGTGTGGCTTAATTTTTTACATTCATTGGGAAATGAATGCAATAACACGTGACCAATTCAGCTAATGAGAATACAGGAATTTCAAGGAACACAATGAAATTTTAATTATTGTACAATTACGCACAATGAGTCAAGTCACACATTGAAACCATTGAATTCTCTTCTTTTTTTTTAAATATGAGGACAAGAATACAGCTCAGGGCTGCCTTCCACACAACAATCACATCATTAGAACTATTGCAAGTCTTTCTTAAAGTAACAATAGTTGTAGTGTTAGGAAACACTTTACATTTATGTTTATTTGGAGATATTTGATGGATTAGAAAAATAATATTTACAATTACAAAAATCATACAAAATTAAACAAACTAATAAACTTAATAACTGATCAAAGTCAGATTACGTAGTTAACTTCTCACACAATATCAAACCCTTCTCAGACGTAAAGATAAATACATATTACCGGTACTGTAAACTTTTTTGTTTATTTGTATGTCTGTTTATTAATGCCACACTCAGCAATATTCCAGCTTTATGATGTTGGTCTAAAATAATTAAGTCTGGACCAGACATTCCAGTGATTGACACGAGCATCGATCTATGCAATTGGGATACAAAGTCATCAACCAAGTCAGTGAGACTGACCACCCGATCCCGTTAGTCGCCTCTTACGACAAGAATGGGTTGCTGAAGACCAATTCTAACCCAGATCCTCATGAGGCATACAATCATAAACATACTGCACTTATTTCATACTGCATTTATCTTTTTCCACCAAACCGACCAATCCAAACAACATGCTGAAAAAATAAGAGAAAATAGTGTGATACAAAGCACCCATCAACCATAAAATCTGAGGCTGTTCTGTGAAACAAGGAGCGGGGACTCAATCGGTTGATGTCTTACAAATGTACTTAAAGTATCCGGGGCGAGGGAGTAGCCTGAAGGCCCGGGTTCGATTCCCCACAAGGATACAATGTGTGAGGCCAATTTCTGGTGTACACTGTACACTACAAACATATCCCTCATCAGTCTACATACACAGTAACTACGGATGCTAATAATGCTGTCAGGAAACTAGAGGGCTTTGTGTCAAGCTTGTTCTTCTGCACATGAAGCTGGAGCAAACACAACAGCATAGTTAGAAATTAGAGCCAATCAGAGACCACTCATCCAGCTAAACAGACACCAACAAAAAACACATAATACCAAAGAATTTGCTCCCAAAGAGATGTTAATGTTATAAATGATCCTGATAAATCTGTTAAATCACATATCAATAGCATACACAGGAATGTATCTAGGATTCCAAGCTAAGTGCCCTTGGCAGATAAATGGGGGGGGGGGGGGGGGGAGGAAATGCTATTTTGTTAAAAAAAATGTTGAATATTTTCCTATTTTCAGAGGCATTTCAACATTGAAATCCATTATTATAATCATTCAGTCAATACAATAATATAAAATTAAGCCTCTTCCTCTATTTTAGTTGTGTTATCAGTGGTATACAAGACACCTCGAACAAGCCATCACATTAGGAATAGGAACTTCTTAATTCCCATTTGGGTATTTACATTGACAATTACAGCAGACTTAGGGCTGAATATCAGCTTCCAAATCCCTGATTCAGGTAGTTCTTTATTTGAAGATAATCCATATGGATGTACAACAAGGTTGTCAAAACCAAATTGCCTCCCCTTGTGGTGACCTTACCAGTACTGTTGCTCACTCATCAATATGGTGGATACAGACTCAACATGCCCTTCAACTAAATAAGCGTTAATAATTATTGAGATATTAACAAAAAAGAAACCTTTTTGCCCAAGAAAAGTAGAAGCACATTGAGATGTTTCACCCCAAGCCAGATAAACCCAAGCTCATACTCACTCTCTTTAAACATACGTTAAAAGAAATATACACCAATGTTAACAAATGAATCATCACGTTACAGTTACTGTAAAATAATGCACAATGCTCAATTAACTCATTACAAATTCAAAGAATGCAGAAGAAAAATTCTTCTTTAATTCATCCTGATTAGCCTCAATCCATCCCATCCTCCATTATCCAGGGAACTATAGCTCCATTGTATCATGACAAACACCTGGACCCAAATGCCACCATAGCATCATATTCAAAATGCTTAAAATAGCCAATCAAATTACCCAGTTCTTTCACATTAAAACCATGTGGACATGACCAGCACAGGACTCGCCTTGTTGCTGATTGTCCAAGTACAACTGGTAACATCTCGTAGCAAAAAAACTTCCCAAATTGTCTTAATACCCAGGGGAACCTATGTATCTATTCATAACAGTCTTCTGACTTGATGAAATATATCGGGAGTTCCATTGTACCAGTCAGCAAAATGTTCCTGTAAATCCACAATGCACACTTGTCCAGAAGACACCTTTGAATTTTTGTTGATTTCATGTTCATCAACGAGAGAAGTGATGTTTCCCAGCATTGTGAATGTGCAGTTGCTAGGTTGATGATAATATCTTCCACACAACTTATCGGATAACCTGACAGTGAAAAGGACTGTCCGTTGAAAATCTCTATATTTTCTAATGTGATGACAGCCAAAATTTGGATTTATGTCTTCAATGTAATAGAGGTAAGGTATGCAAAGGAATTATGCTATTCCATCTTTGTGACAAGAGACATGGCGATGGGACAAAGCTACGGTGGTGAATGGGTCCAGGGTACATAGCGGAGTTGAGACACAATGCAATGGACAGTCATGATAATCTCATCCCCAAATGCAACATTCACCAAGATTAAAACCATTTGATTTGTAATTTCTCAGCACTGATATTTGAAAAGCTATTAAATGATTATCATTAACATCCAATTATACTAGCTGACTCTGAACTTTATGTTATGTATCCTTGAAGTTTTGCACAGAGCCTTTGCCATTACATGTGACCATGAAGACAGTCTGTACCTGCAATATTTATCCAATCTCTGTAATTGTCACTGGTGAAGAGTGAGTCATCCAGACCTCGGAAGAAGCGCTTCAGTGCATTTGCCACTTCATTGCAGGTGAAGTCTTCCATCTTCACGCCCCTCGCATCTGCAACAATCAATGAAAGACTAAAGCAGGTGCCAGTACAATCGATCAATCATGAGATAAACCAACTGTATTTTTTAATTTGTGGTATATGTCAATGATTTGAAACCTCTAAATTGTATTTGGGACCAAACATGTTAGCTTCAGGTCACAAATACATAATTTAGAGGTCTCAAAGCAACAATAACACAACTAAGCTTATCTCCAATTTACCATGACAGAATTTCTTTGACTTCATTGGTTTGAAGATGATAAGTGAAGCTTGCCCACTTTGATACCATGGCTCATTTAAACATGGATACCTCAGTCAGACACAGTATACTGACTCCGAGTCAACCAGTCCTTGTTTTAGCCCCTTTGATGCCAAGATCCTACAGGGAAACAACAAGTACCATCTCTTAACATCTTTTACTAGGAGATCGAATCACCGACCTTCTGCTCTTCACATGACACAATAATCACCTTTCTTCAGCTCGTCCAGTAGTAGCTGTATGCGAGAGTTTGTTGCACTTTCCCTGTAGATACCCGTGGACTTCAGACCTGCAAGACAATGCCGAGAGTCAGTTCACAGATCTTAGCAACAACGAAACGCAGGACAGACTGTGGACAAGCCTTTTTAAATCAGTTCTACAATTTTAAGGAATTTTAAGGAAAACCAGTGACTGAGAGAATGAGCAATGATCCACAATAGGTCATGATGACACAATCCTCCAGGTCACAGCTTTCTTCCACCCAGTGCTCATTGTAATCTGTTTTTATGACAGGCATGAGGTGCTGGAACAGATTGTATTTTCTTGAGTATAATACACCCCCCTATTCTTGGGTACAGGTTTTGGTGAAAATATGTCTATCTTGTGCATAAGGCGCAGACAGAAAATACATCATTTTGGCTGTCACAAATAGTTGAGTTGGTGAACAGATCTGTTGATCAGTTCACACACGATTTCGTGGAAATTCCTATCTACACATTATTAAACTAAATTTTTTAATAAACTTCATAAGCTTAAAGTGACAGTACGTCGACAGTTTGGTGAAATAATTTCTGAGATTGACATCACGCCTGATTCAATTCTCAAAACAAAACAATAGAGATCCGCACAGCGAAGCCGACAACACAAGCATTACGCAGAGTAAAACTGGCTTCTGTCACATCGTCACATCTTACACGGCCCATTCATGTGTTTTCATCTGTTTTATTTTGGACGAGTCTACACATTTAGATTACTATAACTTTCATTGAGAAGATATCCTAAAACGTGAGGGACCTCTCAACCTCTAACTATTCACATCAAGTTATAACAAGGATCCCTTGACGTTCATGCTTATTTGGAACACTGGTGTAATAATACGACGAGCATGCTTACTTCACAAAGAATTTATTCACATGCTTTCTCTTGTTACATGCAATTAATCTGTTTAAGTTTCACTTTTGAGAAGAAAAAATTAAAAATGAATTTTGTATGTATAATTAAGGTTATGACAATACACACCTTATTTCTTTTTCTAACGTGTTCTTTACCCAAGAACATACGGTATTCTACCTCTGAATCAAACAGAGATGCGATGCCGGCAAGACATAGAGTGTATTCAAACTACTGTGAATACAGGGCATATAATGCCTTAGAGTGAATGAGTGTGTTGGTTTAAAGCCGCTTTGAACAGTGTTTCAGTAATATTGTGGCGTGTCAGCTTGATGTGGGAGCAAGTCCAGGTCTCACACATTTACCACTTCAGGGAAACCACGAGCATGGGAGTGCTGGGGCCAGTCCAAATTTACTCCCCAGGTACCCGACCCCTATTACCCGACCTTACCCGGTACCCACTACAGGTCTCAAGAGTTGGGAACAAAATGTCTGATTAGGAATTGTTTTACGCAGCCCTGGCAAAAACTATTCAGATACATTTATCAAACGATCAGATCATTTGTTCACTGAAGCTGACTGAAGCTTTATCTTTACTTAAAGTCAAAAGGAATGTGTGCATCGTCAGAAAGAAATGTGAATATTAGTGACTTGTAGTAACCACTGAGCTATAGTGAGTTTTCGTCATTAAACAATATATCAAGTGACTAACCACGGGTCCCAGTAGTCCTCTGGGTTCCCGGGTCCTACTCAGGACCCACCCGACCCGGGTACCCGAGTTACCTGTCCCAGCCCTTGAGCATGGGTATGGTGCTGACAAACCTAGAAACATAATAGGGGCGAACCAGGATTCGAACCCACAATCAAAGGTTCATGGCATGCCCAAGGGACACAACTCTGCACAGTGAATTGCGGCACCTTAGACAACTGCGCGACCTTGGCCCTACAATGCCTGGAAGCATCACAAGGCACTTGTGTCAGTCACAAGTAGTATCTCCAGGAGGTCCCCTTACCTGACATAGTGATGAAATCAATACACCTGTTGACGATGACAGGGACATTGTCTGACGTCAACTGCTGATCCTGGAGTGTCCTGCCGCTTTCCTGTATCAACAACAACACTACAGTTGGCACAACAGTCTACATGATGTTTGTTTGTTGTCAACACTGCACTCAGCAATGTTCCAGCTATACGATCACTGCCTATAAAATAGGGCTGTATTTTGAGCAACGGTCAACCCTGTTAGGGAATGACAACATGCGGTCAGACAGGGCTGACCATCCGATCCATTTAGTCGCTATTGAAGTGCAAGTATCATGAAAAGTAGAAACAGATTTTCCTTACACCATTATGTAGCCAGTATGTTATACAAAATAATAGCTAAGAAAAATAGTGTGGACTGTAAACTTAGCGTTGCTGCGCTTAATCAAAAGTATGTGTTTTCAGGTCTGTATTTGTAACAAATCTTAACGAGGAGGCATGCCTTAATTATCATGGCCGATTAGGCCTGCCATCTGATTGGGTATCACAGTGTATGTCAAGAGTATGGCTAGTGGGGGCGTGTCAAGTATTCTCGATTTAACATCAGTTATATAATATCTTAACATTGTAAAATTATTTTTTAAATTTTAAAGGTACAGCTTTCTTCCCTCCTCCCTCAATCCATGTCGTTCGAAAGATAAACATTGATTGATCTTTGTAGCCAATTAACCAGAATGGAATTTTTCTCCTCTACAGTCAATATCTCACAACACCATGCATTTTAGAATTGGAAGTTTACACCATATACAGCTTTTCCGTTGGAAGAGAGGATGACATGGTTGTATGAGGGGCTGGGAACTGACCCTGAGTATACAGTCACTGACCTTGATTGCCTGCTCACAGACTGCATACACTCTCTCCGTGTCCCGCACTAGATCCGCTTGGATGTACAGGGCCCTGTAACAAGAACAAGCACTACATAAACACAGTGCATACAGTCTCTCCGTGTCCCGTACTAGATCCGCCTGGATGTACAGGGCCCTGCAACAAGAACAAGCACTACCTACACACAGTGCATACACTCTCTCCGTGTTCCGCACTAGATCCGCCTGGATGTACAGGGCCCTGCAACAAGAACAAGCACTACATAAACACAGTGCATACACTCTCTCCGTGTCCCGTACTAGATCCGCCTGGATGTACAGGGCCCTGCAACAAGAACAAGCACTATGTACACACAGTGCATACACTCTCTCCGTGTCCCGCACTAGATCCGCCTGGATGTACAGGGCCCTGCAACAAGAACAAGCACTACATAAACACAGTGCATACACTCTCTCCGTGTCCCGTACTAGATCCGCCTGGATGTACATGGCCCTGCAACAAGAACAAGCACTACGTATACACAGTGCATACACTCTCTCCGTGTCCCGTACTAGATCCGCCTGGATGTACAGGGCCCTGGAACAAGTGAGTGACAGATGAGTGACAAGTGACTGAGAGGCAGGTGACAAATGAGTGACAGGTGAGTGACAGATGATTGACAGATGATTGACAGATGATTGACAGATGAGTGACAGGTGAGTGACAGATGAGTGACAGATGAGTGACAGGTGAGTGATAGGTGAGTGACAGATGAGTGACAGATGAGTAACAGGTGAGTGACAGGTGAGTGACAGATGAATGACAAGTGACTGAGAGGCAGGTGACAGATGAGTGACAGATGAGTGTCAGGTGAGTGACAGGTGAGTGACAGGTGAGTGACAGATGAGTAACAGGTGAGTGACAGATGAATGACAAGTGACTGAGAGGTGGGTGACAGATGAGTGACAGGTGAGTGACAGATGAGTAACAGGTGAGTGACAGATGAGTGACAAGTGACTGAGAGGTGGGTGACAGATGAGTGACAGGTGAGTGAGTGACAGATGACAGGTGAGTAACAGCTGAGTGACAGCTGAGTGACAGTATCTCCTCATCATCATGCTGATACTTCTCACTGTGGAAGATGATGCTGAGTGCATGTGAAATGTGTATTTCTTACAAACCTGTTTGGGGCATTTATCACAAAATGTTGACCAGTTTCAGTACACGCTCTACAGCCTCTCTGAATCTCCTGGTACTCTGCAATAAAAGTATTCCACATTAGCAACAGAAACATCCAACTAAAGATCACATTAACAGCTTGCAAACCTTACTAACATTATTCCAGTAAGATAACTATCAACTTAAATTATGCAAACAGTTTCTATTAAAATAAAAGTGGAATTCTAATGAAAATCAAACACATCACATTCATGTATGACAAAAGGTATGAACTTATCTGGCTCCACTAAGTCTAGAGCTGTTAATCTCCTACAACAGTCCACAATGTGGAAATGTCAGGAAATGTCAAATTCTTCTATATGTCCATACTTTGATCCCACATTCTGGTAGAATTAAACTTAACACAGCAAACCTTCACATATAATAAATATGTATCTTGTGTACATTACGTAGTACTTAATATCACGTATAGTCCCATCATTCTATCAAACCCAGACGCTGCTGATCATGCTTTATAACTGACCACCAAGCTATTTTTAGTGTAAATATTATGTATACACCTTGACGATCTTTGTTACTTGATTTCTATATAGGGAGAGGTATTAAAATAAGCACTGTCTTGTTTACTGATCCCAATTTTCAGTTGAAATTAAAATATGTTTAAACTAAATGTCAGTTGCTCTGCCCCTCATATACAACTCCAGGACACTGATTCTACTTACTAATACTGCTTGCTTTTCTCAAATCCACTGTCTCCAGTTTCTGATTCTGAAAGACAAACAGTGGGCTGTTATCATGCTTCACATGCTACAGTTCTATAGTTGGTGAAAACCACACCCATAGGTGTTATCCAGTCAGTCCAACTTTACATAACTGAACATGGGAACATTACAAATGTAAATTGGGTGTGACTGTAAACCGTATCCCAGGATCACTGCAACTATTACATCAAGGAGTAAACCATAGGTTTCCTTGTTTTTGATGCTCAGAAACTTGTATTTGACACTGAAGGTGTAAATCAAATATTTCAAATGTAAAAATTTCTAGTCATCAAGTATATTAATAACCCCAACATACTGGAAACATAATATTTATCAAAAAAACAAAAAACAAAGTCAGCAGAAATTTGCTGCAGGATGCTTTCTATGAAACGATATTTATCAAGAAAGGTATCCTTACGCATCATCATACACAGCAGTTTAGTACTGGCTCACCTGGTCCATGTAATACAGAAGCCTCCAGCTCAGCATCAGCCATGACTTCCGCCAGTCCTGACAACACAAACACTGTATTACTGGACACATGGAAACCTGAAGCATGGCAGCAACAGAAGAACGGCTGCACTAGGACAGAGTAAAGTTAATGTTTGGCTGTTTGTGGTTTATTCGCAATTTAGCAACCTTATTCAGCAATATTCCAACTTTGTCACATTGGCCTGTAAACTGTGAAGTTTGTGCCAGAAAAACAATTGTTGACAATATGGGCAACATTGCACGTCATTACCATTGTCATCACATGAAGAGAACATGCCAGACAACTGGATGTTATCAACAAATCGTAAATATTCAAATGATGATTTATCAATCACTTTTCATTATGACAAACTGTAATCCTATTTTCTAAACTGACTGAAAAGATACATGGCTTATACCTCGGAAATATTGTCTTTGACGTAGTAGTTTCCTCCAAGGGAGAACTCCATCATTCCAACGTGTTCCATTATGCTGACTGGGCAGATTAACTGAAAGAGCAAGAAACATGTTATAAAACTACCCCTTAGTCTAAAGGAACTATAGCACTTGTTGGAAAAGTTCCCATGGTCAGGTATTAGAAAGGCAATCACACATGTGTCCAACAACTGGGGGAGGTGATGCTGATCAGATCTTGACCAGGGAATACTGAAACATCCCCTGGGTACAAAAGGTAAATCATTTCGATCAAAATATACCTTGAATATGTCCAGTGTATGCTGGTTTGAGAGAATAGGGTGATTGCTGTAAACACTACTTCTTGGTCATAGTCACCCACATCAATAACCACTCAACAAAAATACACGATTTATTTCATTAATCAACAAGTTTTTGTTGCTATGCAAGACAATCACTGTTGCCCTCACTATTGTATGTGGTTTGTGATGATATGGACAAAATGAGATGACCTAAGATTTGGACCAGGTGTAATGGACATTTAAGATACAGTTGGAGGTTTGTATCAATAGTACCCCTTTGATAAGATACCTATGAGCATGTGTGTTCTGAGTACCTTAGATAGGGACTGCATCCACATGTTCCTCTCCCCCGCGTTCTCAGCAGCGAACAGATACATCCGGTTACTGGCCTTGTTTGTGCTGATATCAAATGCATATTGTTGCCTGAAACGGAAGTGGTAATTGTTTATCTGCATACAATATTGCTCCATTAGAAGTCTCCATCGCACACTTTAGACCCTTTACCTCCACTCTGAGTGAATGTTGTTTTGAAGCCAGTCAGCAATATTCAAGCAATAACATGTGGCCTGTGAACACCTGCAGCTTGACCTGTCCAACCAGTGACTGAACGTACAAGCAACAACCCACTTCCGGGTCCAAACGACACATAAACAGCCAACTGACAGAGTCTGACCACATGATATTCCTAGGTCGGCTGCAAGGACAAGCATGGAATACTGAAGATCTACTTGTTCTTGGAATTTTCTTTTAAACATGCTTACAGTCTTACAGCACCATAGAGCCAAGCTGTTATTCATTCGAGTGAGTGAGTGAGTGAGTGAAATTTAACGTCACATTGGCAATATTTCAGCCATATCGTGATGAAACCGTTACAATAATTATATTTAGATGGAGTAAAAGGCTTTGTTTGAGTGACATTGTACTGCAAGAATTGACCTGAGTAGCTTCATGCATACTTACTTCTCAACACTTGTTTCCTGTATACAGTGTATGCTCTGACGGTCAATGCTGTCCTTGGCTGTTGTACTCTGCAACAAAACACCATCAATCCCTTCAGAACCATGAAACAAAGACTACTATTTCCTTCAGCTTTTCTTAACAGGGCAACTGAATAAACACCAGGTTCTGTAGCTCACCTTAATCTTTTCTCAAGATGAGATCATGGAGGTAGTACAAGGGTATAAACAGGTATGTGAAGGTCAAAGGTTGGTGCAAAACAAATTACAAAATGGGTCAACTGGGATCAGGGTCATTTTCAATATGGCTGACATTGTGGCCATATTTGAAACTGCAGATTGGAATTCTATGAACAGTTCTAAAGGACACTGTTGTTGGGATCCTCCATGCAGAGGTGCAGCTCAAATTCCATCAATAGGCCTGATGACTTCAGCAAGATGTTCAAAATGAAAAGGCTGAGGACAAGACAACAGATAATGACATGCTCTTAATGATTCGCACTTACTTCACGCACACCAGTGTATTGGTTATGGCATTTTTTACGTCATGCAAATCTTATTGTGACGTAAGTTTGAAATCATATCACACTTGAAAGGACGTCTTAGCTGGAGACTGTTGACGTCATTCAACAATCGTGGTTTTCTAAGACAGTGGACGTGATCAATGCATTTTTCTAAAGGGGATCGCAACATCAAGAAATAATGGGTAATAAAGAAATTATTACACTCACATGTGTGTCATACTGATTTTATGAAACTCATGTAAGAAATCATGAATTACCATCGCTCGCGCTCGGGAAATACAAAAATACTGACTCTCGTTTTATAAAATCAGTCTGACACACAAGGTCATGTAATAATCTGCATGAAAGAAATGCTCCCATGAACTTTCAGTTCAGGTAAAGTATTAAGGATGAAAATCAATAAAACATTTTTTTACAAAGGTTAGCAAAGAAGAATTAATTGTAAATTAGTGAAAATCATAAATATTTGAAAATGCACATAAAATGTTAGAAAAGTAAAATAAAATATGAATACTTATGTGGGACATGTTGATAAAGAAAGGACAAAGTAGAGGAGGGCTTCATGCCATAAGGATTGTGCCTCTGAGAAGTCAATTGGTTAACATTTTTCTGGTAATTTCAAAATTGAAACTCTGCACCCACATCGATATGTTTATCTGTGCTGAATGTGCATGACTTTTCAGAGTACTGTGGATGAGGATGGGATCACATGCAGGGACTCACTGTGGATGAGGATGGGATCACATGCTGGGACTCAATAAGGTATGAAACAGCATTTATTATCACTGAACCGAGTTCCGTGTCAAGCAAGAATTGTGAAAACACAAAAACAATAGCCATGCAGTGGAATGGACTCAAAGTCTTATTTATGTCTTTAAATTTATTGAAACTTTAGGCATTAGAATATAAACACAGTGTTCATCACAGCATCATCACAGAAGAAAACAAGAATTTTACAGCATACAAATGATGAACCAACCAGACACATACAATGTTTAGTCAAAACACATGCTAAGCGTTAATTGTTTGTGCAGTTCAAGGGAGGCAATCATGCAACAAGTCATGCACCCGGTCAATCATTAGTAGGTCTACACTAGGCTGTACCCTGGCCTAATAAGGTATGTCTATGTGTACTCAGTACGTACATGGCTCTGTGCTGTGGGTACACACTGCAATAGGGACAATACACAATGTATTCCAGTCAGGATTTCAAACAGTTTCATTAAAATGTGAAAAGTGGGATATTTTGCAGTCCTAGCATACTGGATTGAAGTCCCTGATACACCTACTGCCACGCTTGTCTGTTGTATTGTAGATGTCTTACTATCTCAATGTAACCTTGTGAGAGGTACTACTTTCAAGTGAGACCTACTGAGAGAATTTACATTTGAATTGTAAGACCTGCTTGGAGGTTTTACATTTGAATTGTATAAACATTCTTTTAGTATGCATCTAATGTTCATTTTTGATTGGTTAAAAGTCACAATATCACAAGGAAATTCCATGACTTGAATTGAACCTGCAACCTCACATATGTTTATTACTGCAGGTGATGAAAGGGTGTTCAATCTTACATGTCACTGACTTCAGTTGTCTGCATGCTGCACATGGTCTTTCTTTCACTGCTATAATCAAATTTGTTTTAAGCTGCATCTACTGTATTGTTTCACTAAAAGGTAGGGTAACAACAAGTACCATCTTTAACATCTTTAGTATGATGTGTCCAGGTGATCAAACCACAGACCTTTGCTCTCCGGGCAGAGGCTCTATCCACTAGACCATCGAGGCGATTGGTCAGCTCTCATATTAACATGGATGAACCTCTGCATGTTCTCACTCAGTGACTTAGTTAAAGGGAGTTCCTGGTTCTGAGAAGTACATAGCACCTTGGACTGCACAGTAAAGTCAAGTTGAGCAACACTGAATAACTGAAAGTCTGCTACTCCATATTATTACTGTAATTTAAAAAAACCAACACGAATATATCATTTTTACAAACTACAGAGACAGCACTTTGAATTATGACCTATACCCTCTTGAACAATTGTTAACCCTGGGGAAATAACTGTCATATACCAGGCAGTGTCAACACGGACGTGTTCACATAAATATTCTTAAAATGGATGAAAACGTGATCATGGATTTTCTTGAGTTGAATTCTAATTTAAGATTTGTGGAATAAAGATTATATTTTTCAGACAACATTGGGTCAGTGGCCATGAGAGGTCAGCAGATCTGTAAACAAATGACTAGAAATGCCTCACTATCATTGACCTTACAAACATTGTGAAAGCCTCCTGTGTTAGAGTTGACTAGAACTAGAAGCTAATTTTGGCGCTATGTATAAAACATGTATCCTCATTAATGTCATATTCCCAAAACTAACAGCGAAGCAAAGTCACCATGCTGTAGATTAATCGAATAAGTAGCTAAGAAAGCAGCAAGAAAACTTCAAACTTAGCTTGATTAATAGATTGCCATTAAAAATTAAAGGACACAACAGGGAGGGATAAACATAATGTCAGTCCTGACATCAGTGGGGTGAGTGAGTGGTTATTAGAAGTCAGCTGTTGTATTCCTGCTGTATCATGGCATCCAGGGACACGGTGACACACAAGTCACGTTGTGGGGGCACAGTGAAACACAAGTCATGTCATGGGGGCACAGTGACACACAAGTCATGTTGTGGGGGCACGGTGACACACAAGTCAAGTTGTGGGGGCACGGTGACACACAAGTCACGTTGTGGGGGCACGGTGACACACAAGCCACGTCGTGGGGGCACGGTGACACACAAGCCACGTCGTGGGGGCACGGTGACACACAAGTCACGTCGTGGGGGCAAGGTGACACACAAGTCATGTCGTGGGGGCACGGTGACGCACAAGTCATGTCGTGGGGGCACGGTGACACACAAGCCACGTCGTGGGGGCACGGTGACACACAAGCCACGTCGTGGGGGCACGGTGACACACAAGTCACGTCGTGGGGGCAAGGTGACACACAAGTCATGTCGTGGGGGCACGGTGACGCACAAGTCATGTCGTGGGGGCACGGTGATGCACAAGTCATGTCGTGGGGGCACGGTGACACACAAGTCATGTTGTGGGGGCACGGTGACACACAAGTCATGTTGTGGGGGCACGGCACACACAAGGCATGTCGTGGGGGCACGGTGACACACAAGTCACATTGTGGTGGCACGGTGACACACAAGTCACATTGTGGTGGCACGGTGACACACAAGTCACGTCAGAGATACAATGACACACACGTTATGTAAAAAACAAGTCAATTTGTCGGGGCATGGTAAAACACAAGTCACATTGTCAGGGCATGGTAAAACACAAGTCACATTGTCAGGGCATGGTAAAACACAAGTCACATTGTCGGGGCACGGTAAAACACAAGTCACATTGTCGGGGCATGGTCAATCTCATTATAATCAGATCTTAGTTTTCGCTACCGCTAAAAGATCTGAGGACATCCCATTACGGGTCACGTCAGAACGACCTTTCGCGAATTCTGACTGACCAATGAAATGACTGACAAGTAATCGACATTGGCCAATCAGAAGGTAGCTTTCTCGAGCTTTACGACACTAGTTTCAAACTGGCAACTACGCTTCAAAACATATTTTGACATATTCTCGATTAAAACTGATAAGAAGAACATTCTGGAATGGTTTATAGATGGCCTAGATTGTATGGATATAATCATAAAACCCGTAACTGTTGTTCGGAATACACCGTGTTAAATATATCGTGGTTGCATGATTAGAAAACACATTCCGACTGTCACTTTCATGATCTGGTAAGCGACGCTCTGATTGGTCGGATGAAAGGTCGTTCTGACGTGACCCGCAATGGGATGTCCTCAGATCTTTGTTTAGCGATAGCGAGAACTAAGATCTGATTTTAATGAGATTGGGGTAAAACACAAGTCATGTTGTCATGGCACGGTAAAACATAAGTTATGTCTGCGGTATGGTAAAACACAAGTCACATTGACGGGGCACAGTAAAACACAAGTCACGTTGTAAAAAGACAAGTCATGTCATTTGGGCATAATAAACACAAGTCACGTAGAAGGGGCATGGTAAAACACAAGTTATGTCTGGGGCATTGGAAAACACAAGTCACTTTGTCAGGGCAGGGTAAAACACAAGTCACGTTCATGGGGCACGGTAAAACACAAGTCACGTTCATGGGGCACGGTAAAACACAAGTTATGTCTGGGGCATTGGAAAACACAAGTCACGTTCATGGGGCACGGTAAAACACAAGTTATGTCTGGGGTATGGTAAAACACATGTCATGTTGTCGGGGCACGGTAAAACTCAAGTCACGTTGTTGGGGCATGGTAAAGCACAAGTTATGTGTGGGGTATGGCAAAACACAAGTCATGTTGTCAGGGGCACGGTGACACACAAGTTATGTTGTCAGGGGCACGGTGACACACAAGTCATGTTGTCAGGGGCACGGTGACACACAAGTTATGTTGTCAGGGGCACGGTGACACACAAGTCATGTTGTCAGGGGCACGGTGACACACAAGTTATGTTGTCAGGGGCACGGTGACACACAAGTCAGGTTGTCAGGGGCACAGTGACACATAAGTCATGTCTTTGGGATACGGTGACACACAAGTCACGTTGTCAGGTCACGGTGAATGAGTGAGTGAGATGGGTTTCACACTGTAGTCACCAGTATGATCAGCCATTGAGGAACCTGATTCATAATTGACTTGCCTCAATTTGGATCCAAAAACTTCTAAAAGGGATATAGAATAGAAAATGTAGATATTGTAAAGATATGTACCAGGCTGATACCGCAATTGAAAATGGATCATATTGACAAAATTAAGCATATCATTTTAGAAAGCAATTTTCTGACAAGCAAAACCAACCATGTTTGATCAGGATTCACATGAAGTGACCTACCATGGAATGCTTGGCAGATCACTGATGGAGGGTATCAAATTAAAGTAACAGATCTGATTTGAATGAGACAGAGAACTACTAGTTTTTCACATGCTTTGAAATGCAAAGGATTTCACTGAATTCGAAAAACTGGAACTGCAGCAATCAACAATCTTGCTGCACAGTGAAACCCAATCTATGGGAATTGCAGCTCATGACTTCTGACCTCACCTTGTCCGTCAGGTAGTAGGTGAGAGAACCATGCTCCAACACACACCAGCGCTTGTCGAAACCTACAAATACAGTCACATACACGCATATAAAAAGGAGCTATGTAAAGAAGAATCATCAACAAGTAGCTTGAGTTTTGGCAGACTGTTATCATTTCGTGAACTTATTTTATTTATTTTAATTCTTTTGTTTAACACCAGAAATAATTGCTTTCATTACAAGATGGTTTCTTGACACAGACTTAGACATGCTGGCTTCAAAATTATGATTTTATACTTATTTTACTCAACAAAACATTCTGTTTTTATGATTACACATTAATGTTGGAATGTCCACTAACTCTTGTGACTGGGCCCCGTCTTAAACAGGTATCCCTGGTGTCTGACATCCTCCCTCAGTCGCCCCTGGTAACAGATGTTGATAGTACTGACAAGCTCACAAATATTGAAAAACAAATTAATGTGGTGCATCATGTCTGGAAAAATATAAATGTATTACATCATGTTTTGAAAAGTATTACTGTGGTACAACATGTCTAGAAAAAAAATAATGTGGTAGGAACACAGATAATAATGTGGTACATGTCTAGAAAAAAATAATGTAGTACATCATGTTCGAATCACAGATATTAATGTGGTACAACATGCTGGAACACACAATATTAATGTGGTACATCATGTTTGGAATGATATGAATATGGTACATCATGTTTGGAAAAATATGAATGTGGTACATCATGCTGGAACAAAAGATATTAATGTGGTACATCATGTTTGGAAAAATATTAATGTGGCACATCATGTTGGAACACAGATATTAATGTGGTACATCTTGATTATATCAATCAGTGGAAACACAAAATCAAATGTAAGGAGAGATCTGTCCTACAAACTGCTCACCTCATTGTTTTCACCCATGTCTGTTGATGAGGCTGGGGAAAAGAATAAACATATTTCAATATTCAGAATTCAACGATTAAGCAAGAGCACCGAATGAATCTTATATCAAAGTTTATTATTCAGGGCCATAAACATTATAACATTGCCATTTTCACAGTATACCTTTGGCTTTGAGAATGTTTAGTTACTTTTTTAAAAGGTATGATGTTGTAAGTACATGTATCAGTAAATAATTGCCTGAGACCTATGACATATTTGCTGATAAATTCAAAGAAGCTGCTTTGAAGAGTTTTTCAATTTTGTCGCGTCAGCATAATGTGGGAGGAAAGATTGAAGAGGGCAGGTGATGAATGTTTCCCCCATTTACCACGATTGATTGTGCTGTCCTACCAATTCAGGGTGATAATCAGGCTGTTTCTGGGATTCAAACCCTCAAACAACGGATCCTGATCAACTAAGGGACACGATTCTGCACAGCAAAACTACAGGGCCACCCCTGCCCCTGATATAGATTTACAATAAAACCATGCTCTCAACAACATACCATCACCTCCATTTTGAAACAGGAACTCCTGAAAGGGAAATTTCAGGGGAGTCATCAACATGTGACAGATACAAGCCAATCTTATTAATATCAGCTCTTAGTGTTGCTACCGCTACACATAGATCTGAGGACATCCCATTACAGGTCACATCAGAACGACCTTTTATCTGACCAATCAGAGAGTTGCTTACGAGATTGTGAAAGTCTGAATGTGTTTTCTAATCATGGCACTTGAAAAGGTTAACACGAGGCATTCCAAAGCCAGTTACAGGCTGTATGACTGATTCCGTCGAAGTCATCGGCTATGTCTTGCTTCAATGTGATATATATTTTAAACAGAAGAGATTTTCGTAGCCTGTGGGATGTACAGCCATACAATCCTGGTAATCTATTAGACATTCTAGAATTTTCTTTTGTTCAATATTCACATTTTGAATTGAGAAATTTGTCAAAATATTTTTCAAAGTGTAGTCTGGAATGGAAGTGGCCGTTTGAAACTAGTGCTGTAAAGCTCAAGAAAGCTGCCCTCTGATTGGATGATGTTGACTTCCTGTTCGTCATTACATTTGTGATGCTATATGCGATGTCTGTAGCGAGCACAAAAATCCGATTTTTAATGAGATAGGGCTTGATGTTACATAATGTATGTGAGGGGAATATACATAACAGATACTAATATCTCACATGGAGTATGAAGGCATATAAAGAAATTATTTAAGAATTTAATTTCAGTTTGTGTGAGTTTATTTGAGTATGAACCCTCAGAGTGAGGGCAAAACTGTATGGACGTAGAACACACTGTTAGTGTACTGAATGTTTTCACTGGCCTCAAGCGTGTTGATGTACCAAATGATTATTCAGACAGATTTATTTTGTCTCCAAATGTTGCAATTGCCACTTACCATTAACAGCCTCTGCCCTGATGATTTTGCAATTTGGTATGCTGAAATGTTAAAAACAAACATTCCTATCATCAGGCTAAAACACCTGTATTTGTGGTTCAACAGTGTTGGAGCAGTCAAGGATAATACTTTTGTATGAAAGGAATCTAACTTCCCTATTAAAACTGGAGTCAAAGCGGACCCAGGAGGAAGACATATGCAGTCATGCATTCTTATCGTTCAATATTCAGAAACAAGAGTAAGTATGAATATGACCAACTAACCTGTTTGTGCTTCCCCTCCAACTTTGCGATAGTGAATCTGAAAATGTGGACATAAACCATATATATTATATGTGCTGAGTGCAGTTATGAGATGAGATGAAAGTTTCAGCAAGATAGGTAGAGCAGCAATAAGCAGTGATTAAAAGCAGGATAAGCAGTGATTAGGACAGGATTAAGCAGTGATTAGAAGCAGGTTTAGCAGTGATTAGAAGCAGGATAAGCAGTGATTAGAAACAGCATCAAGCAGTGATTAGTAGGGTCAAGCAGTGATTAGAAGCAGGCTTAGCAGTGATTAGAAGCAGGGTCAAGCAGTGATTAGAAGCAGGGTTAAGCAATGATTAGAAACAGGCTTTGGCTGCTATGTACATATTTATGCAGGTCATGCTGGTCTGGCTTGTACCAGCTGTCTATTTCCCTTCTCTAAGATGCACTGTTAAACTTTACTGTTTATTGCTAAGACAACGGCTTGTGTCCATTGGTAAACAATGATAAGCAGTTTCATTGCTACAGCTCAGTGCAATATTGCTCGTACTGAGGAGCCTGATTATCCATGGTTAGTACATTGTTTTTATATACTTTTTGAAGTAGTTTCTATGCTGTCAACATTTTGCTTCAGCAGTCATGCAGTTATCTCCAGTCAAAATTTTTGGATTGATTCTAGTTTTCTCTGACCATGTCTACAGTCTTCCTATACAGTGTAAGCCTTGGCGTTAACTTTCAGCCAAGCCGTTTCATTCTCAGCCAGCTGTATCATTGTATTTACCACATCTGGCTTGAATTGTGGCCTTACTATCCTACTCAGCTTGCTTTGGATAGTTCCCCTTAAAGTTCAATAATCCGTATCCAACTTGTATGCTACTTGTATCCTCATTTATTGCATCATTTTGTACCGTTCTGTGTAGTCACTCGCTGTGCTCTGATGCTCAGAAATATAGCCAGCGTTTGATCCCAATGTTTGGGCATGATCGATGCTCAATCATGTACACACTTATTCTTGTGCCAACAATTTAGCCGTCCAGTTTTGCTTTGTCATGTTATTATTTGCAAGTGGCTAAATCCTTTCCAATGTTTGGCATGATTGATGCTCAATCATGGGCACCCTTAGTCATACCTGAAAATTCCCCATACGCCAAACTTTACCATAATAAATGTTTGAAACTACTTGGTGTTTGGTTGTCATTATAAATTGATGTTTATACAAGGTTGATGTTTACACAACAGATAACATTGATGTTTATGAGCATATTATGTTTGATTGTGTCTATGCCAAAACACTGCATTCATTGTAACAAAGAAGCTGTATATCCATAGAATTATCTCCCTTGTTCATCATACCAACTTGTAATGCCACCTAAAGAAGTCATACAAGCAGAGTTTAATATTCAAATGCATGGATGAGCAGTTAATTACAAGAAATGCTAAGCACTGATTTACATGTAATGAGTGCATTGATGAACGAGAATCATCAAGCATTGTATCATAAACCACATGGATCACAACAGTTTCCAGATCAACATGACACAGACCGGTCACAAGAAGAAACAGTAAATGGGAAACTTACATCTGCACCAGAGAAGACAATCTTCACCAAGTTCATGAGTTCATCCGTTGCCGATACCCTGAGCAGCTCCTGCAATGAAATAATCCGGGCATTAAGACTGCATGCCTTTCATTCTGCAGTTAACAAACATGTTACTTGACTTTTTCCTTCTGTTTTGAAGGAGAATTGGTCAGTGCTAACAGACAAATGGACAGACAAAGACTAAACATATTTAGATCCAATCCCTTTGAAGATGTCCTGACGGCCTCCATGGTCTAGTGGTAGAGCATCCATTCGGAGAGCAGAAGGTCTCGGGTTTGATCCCCCGGCCGTGTACCATACCAAAAGATGATAAAAAATGGTACTTGTTGTTACCCTGCCTGGCGTTCGACATTAAGGGGCTTGAACAAGGACTGGTTGTCTCACAGTCAGTATAAAGAGGGGTATTCATGTTAAACTGCGGCATGGTATCTCAGTGGGATAGCACTATAAAATTGGCATCAGTCCAGACTAGTGCAAGTAGCAACACACACACATATATATATATTATATAAGTGCAATAATCTTGGATGAGACGTTAAACTCCATTTCACCTCACCTCATCTGAAAATGTCCTGAAGAGCTAAGAAAACCACCTCATTCTTGTTAAAATTGGTCACTAAATGTGACCAGACAGGACTACCGATCAAATGACCCCCAACTCACCTCATTGAGCAGCCGGGTGTCGGCACTGGACTGGTGTCGGCGGCAGTGCGCCTTGTCCTTGTACTTAGTGGTGATGAATTGTTTCCTTTCATCCATGGAGGACTCAGGGACAATCTTTTCTTCCGGCGACAGGTCAAACTCCCAGAACACATTGGAGTTGTCATTACCAATAGCCTTCATAAGCTGGAAAACAAACAAAAAACTCATATCAAGGATACAGCTTATGTATTGGGAGTTTCTTGAAAATGTTAACAAGCATCAAAATCAGACTACAGTGAATGTAGTTTAAAAAGGAGAGTCAGTTGTCATGACATAGCTCTAAAATTAGCCTGCGTTGCCAGATAAACCAGTGGTCAGGCTATGATTGCTTACAACCAGCCAAGTCATATATATAAACAAGGGCAAAAGTGAGCATGGCTCACTGATACCCCCAACCTGCCTATTGTGTCAGTAGTTTCAAATTAAATAATGGATAGGGTTAGGGGTTGGAAAAATTCATAAAAAAATGAAAAATTCATAAAAACATTTTTTTTCTTTTGACTGCACCCCTCCATATGACACAGATTATGTACTAAGTTTGAGATGAATCCACTAAAAGGTCGGGGGTATAAAAAAACCTTGATCCTTGCAACCCAGCTCTTGAGCCAAGCATGGGTCACATGGGACCTGTTCTGCCATGGAATCCACATGGGGCTATATATAGAAGACTATCCACACAGTTGGGTAGGACACAACCAGGTCTCCCTCTTGTCAACCCAGTCACAGATGTGTGGTCGATAGGGTTGCGACGGGTACTCGAGTACCCGATAACGGGTCGGGTAGCTTAGGACTCGAGTACCCGTTCAGGGGAGATAACTCTAATCGCCTTTCATAACTCGTAAGTCACTTCAAAATGGACGACAAAGCGGACAAACGTTCAAATGTTTTAGGTAAGCCATGCAGGCATTTAATAAAAAACATAATACCTTTGAATAGATCAATAGATGTTTGATGACCTTTTATTCGCAAAAGCATTACAAACAAGTGGGACAACATTGAACTACAGGTACTCGAGTCCGGTTCGGGTATTGTCTGCCGGGTACTCGAGTTCAGTTTTCGTACCCGGTTGCAACCCTAGTGGCCGATGTATTAGATGAGAATGAACAGAATGCGGGTCTCACCTCAATCAGACTTGGTGTCCACACTCGTGTGTCCATACGGAGCGACCGGATCTTGGAAACATTGGCTTCAAACATCCGATGTATTCCTGAAGCAAGACAAACATGCACATTGGACATCAATACTTCACAGGTTGGCATACACTACGGTCCTCCACCACCTGGAATACACGCATCCACTAGTGAATCAATACTTCACAGGTTGGCATACACTACGGTCCTCCACCACCTGGAATACACGCATCCACTAGTGAATCAATACTTCACAGGTTGGCATACACTACGGTCCTCCACCACCCGGAATACATGCATCCACTCGTGAATCAATACTTCACAGGTTGGCATACACTACGGTCCTCCACCACCTGGAATACACGCATCCACTAGTGAATCAATACTTCACAGGTTGGCATACACTACGGTCCTCCACCACCCGGAATACATGCATCCACTAGTGAATCAATACTTCACAGGTTGGCATACACTACGGTCCTCCACCACCTGGAATACATGCATCCACTAGTGAATCAATACTTCACAGGTTGGCATACACTACGGTCCTCCACCACCTGGAATACATGCATCCACTAGTGAATCAATACTTCACAGGTTGGCATACACTACGGTCCTCCACCACCCGGAATACATGCATCCACTAGTGAATCAATACTTCACAGGTTGGCATACACTACGGTCCTCCACCACCTGGAATACATGCATCCACTAGTGAATCAATACTTCACAGGTTGGCATACACTACGGTCCTCCACCACCTGGAATACACGCATCCACTAGTGAATCAATACTTCACAGGTTGGCATACACTACGGTCCTCCACCACCTGGAATACACGCATCCACTAGTGAATCAATACTTCACAGGTTGGCATACACTACGGTCCTCCACCACCTGGAATACATGCATCCACTAGTGAATCAATACTTCACAGGTTGGCATACACTACGGTCCTCCACCACCTGGAATACATGCATCCACTAGTGAATCAATACTTCACAGGTTGGCATACACTACGGTCCTCCACCACCTGGAATACATGCATCCACTCGTGAATCAATACTTCACAGGTTGGCATACACTACGGTCCTCCACCACCTGGAATACACGCATCCACTAGTGAATCAATACTTCACAGGTTGGCATACACTACGGTCCTCCACCACCTGGAATACACGCATCCACTAGTGAATCAATACTTCACAGGTTGGCATACACTACGGTCCTCCACCACCTGGAATACATGCATCCACTAGTGAATCAATACTTCACAGGTTGGCATACACTACGGTCCTCCACCACCTGGAATACATGCATCCACTAGTGAATCAATACTTCACAGGTTGGCATACACTACGGTCCTCCACCACCTGGAATACATGCATCCACTAGTGAATCAATACTTCACAGGTTGGCATACACTACGGTCCTCCACCACCCGGAATACATGCATCCACTAGTGAATCAATACTTCACAGGTTGACATACACTACGGTCCTCCACCACCTGGAATACATGCATCCACTAGTGAATCAATACTTCACAGGTTGGCATACACTACGGTCCTCCACCACCCGGAATACATGCATCCACTAGTGAATCAATACTTCACAGGTTGGCATACACTACGGTCCTCCACCACCCGGAATACATGCATCCACTAGTGAATCAATACTTCACAGGTTGGCATACACTACGGTCCTCCACCACCCGGAATACATGCATCCACTAGTGAATCAATACTTCACAGGTTGGCATACACTACGGTCCTCCACCACCCGGAATACATGCATCCACTAGTGAATCAATACATACAGTAGATGGCTGCAAGGCTATGGTTACTCATCACGTTTCAACTGGTTAGCCAATTACTATACTGTCCTACACTGGAGGTACAAAGATGTGTGTTTTAACATCAGAATCTTTTACTAGCTTTATACTGAGGACAGTCTTCAGTATGCACCATGTTAAAGCCTGATAGGTAATCAAGAAATACCAACCTGCACATTTCTTGCACACAACAACTCCCAAATTGATGGACGCCCAATGGGGATCTGTAAAAACAATTGGTACTCAATACTTTGTATCTGACAGTGACTTTATATAAGCTGAAAACTATACAAGAGACACTTACAATACACGACTATGCTCACTACACCATACACTGTTTCCAGGCTGGTGACTTGACATCATCTCGCAGGTGTGCGACACTTTCCTCCGTAACTCATGTCTGTCTCAGTGATTCAAGTCGAGCAAACATACAGATGTTATCATAACTGGTAACAAAATCTTGCTCTCTGATTAACATCTTGCCTGTACTTATGACATCATAGTGTTTCCTCTGATGTCGTCTACATGTTGCGTCCTAACTGACCCTGTCTGCATCTTCAGTTGCCATACCTTACCCACTTATGTGCATAATGCAGATCTGATATCGCCAATGAAACATGTTTCACTGTACTTAACATGTTATGAAAAATTTGTTACATGGCGTTACCAACAGGCGACAAGATATTACAAGGTGAATGTTTTGTGTACAGCCCACAAACTTCAGATGTGTGTACCGCTCGCGACTTTCAGACTTACTGTCATCCTCACAGTCCGCGCAGATCCTGTTGCTGTCGTTCTCATACACCTTCAAGAGAACCTGTAGGCAGAGAGTGAGTGAGTGAGTTATATTGTGTCAGCTAGAGAGACAATCAGTGCAGCCCTCATGTCATTACCCCCAAGAATGTCAATATCTAACAGAGATGTTCATGGTTATTGTGACACTGTTTAGTTTAATCATTATTCAAACATTAAATGTCAGATCATGTGTTGTTTTTAAAATCCTTGTAGTAATTCACACTGCATTTCACCATAGTGCTTGATTTACCCTCATCTAAGTCACTTGTGTTTTCTTCCTAATCCAAGCCCCTGTATTACATGATCACCTGTCCATGCAGCCATCCATCCTCATAGACAGAACCGATACAGTTGGACCCATGTCTCTTTTACGTTAATGTTCCCCTTATCATAATTGACAGTGCCTCTTCATTAAACCATACCACAGCATTATCAAGTTACACTTAGCCTGATAACTTTCAGGCCATTTTGTTATAATGCTATGCTATGAAGTACTTACACTGTCATCAGCCAGCCCCTGGGCTATGGCATCCTCAATAGCCATCTTCCACACCTGGGCCTCCACTGCACTTTCAAACCCCAGCCTGAAACACACATGTAGAACATGCAAAATTACTTTTTTATTTAATTTATTTTAAATGAAAACAACATTGCAGAAGTAGATACTTTAGTCACAAATGTTTAGGATGAGTGAGTGAGTGAGTACAGTTTTACGCAACCTTTGGCAATATTCCAGCAATATCACAAAGAATTGGGCTTCACATCATTGTACCCATGTGGGAAATAATACAATAGTGAAGTAAGGCTTGCATGAAAGGACTTGTGTTTGCATGTTTCTAACACTGCTTTGCTGCAAGAGTAAGTCACCTTACCCACAGAGTGACTCCGAACAAAGGGATGTTTGTCCTTAATATCCCGACAATGTACTCCTACAAATACACTTTATACAACAGCACCACTTAAGACAATTGTAACTCAAGATATACACAAACACCATGAGCTGGTAGCCCCAATCTCAACTTGTATGCTGTCAGCTACTCACACAAAGCATGCATAGTGTGTAGAAAGTTGCAGACGACACTTGGACAAGTCCTTCACAGATGCTAGCTCCATCTTGATCTCGTGTATCGGTGAAAACATCCGATAGTCCTGCAATGGGAAAGAGCAAGAAAATTATACTGTCAAGATGGGCCCCCAGGGAAAAACCATCCTATCAAGAAGGACCCCCAGGGAAACACATCCTGTCCACATGGACGCAAGGCACCACATTCAAATTTTGATTGGAATGCAGAACAACTCACAATGACATTAGAGAGAGTGAGTGAGCTTGATCACTAGGGTACATGACAGATTGAGTGAGATGAACAATATATTCAGTTATCACTGGTTATCGGGCTGCTGCTTACTGCTTGAGTTCAGTCTGAAGTGACACAGGCAAAAAATGTACTCAGCTTTGGTGGGATTCACAAGCATAGGTACATTGCTGACAAACCAAAGGTCATAATTCGGCTGAATCTGGGATATGAACCCAAAGCCCTGTAATAACCAAGGGACACAATCCTGTCATGACTAATGGACACAATTCTGCTGCACAGATACATTTACAGTGCCTTTGATCACTGGCCAATCATGCCCTCTAATGGCACCATGCCCTCTACTGACACAATGTAATTTAATGACACAATGCCCTCAAATGACAGAAGATCTAGAATCAAATAATACTGCAGCTTCATGGGTTTTAATGGGGATCAACAATTCAGCGAAAAAAGGTTCTTTGACAAATATGTAACCATGGTAACAGATGGTGCCTACCTCTATATTATTGTAGTAGCACAGGATACTGCCTCGTATTGACACATAATACTTCTTGCCACCTGGTCCATTCTCAAACTTGATGTAGCCCTGTAATTGAATGAGATGCTCAGAGAACTTTGAGTACTGTCTTCGAGAAAGTAACAACACAGTTTGACAAATGGACTTTCTTCATGCAGCCAACAGGACCAGTGGTAGAAACAGTAATATTTCTGGTCCATAGGCCAGTGTCTCCAAAACATATTTGTTGAAGGCCAGTAAACTGTACAATGAAAGCTGGGTCTGAGCACATCAAAAACAAACCAGACACATGGACAAAACTGAACAGACATCACACAGACATTCCAGATAAATAGTTACATAGAATGTTACACACAGTTTCACATCTCCACAATGTGGCTACATTATAGAATGTTACACAGTTTCACATCTCCACAGTGTGGCTACATTATAGAATGTTGTACACAGTTTCACATCTCCACAGTGTGGCTACATTATAGAATGTTACACACAGTTTCACATCTCCTCAGTGTGGCTACATTATAGAATGTTACACACAGTTTCACATCTCCACAGTGTGGCTACATTATAGAATGTTACACACAGTTTCACATCTCCACAGTGTGGCTACATTATAGAATGTTACACACAGTTTCAAATCTCCACAGTGTGGCTACATTATAGAATGTTACACACAGTTTCACATCTCCACAGTGTGGCTACATTATAGAATGTTACACACAGTTTCACATCTCCACAGTGTGGCTACATTATAGAATGTTACATACAGTTTCACATCTCCACAGTGTGGCTACATTATAGAATGTTACACACAGTTTCACATCTCAACAGTGTGGCTACATTATAGAATGTTACACACACTTTCAAATCTCCACAGTGTGGCTACATTATAGAATGTTGCACATTGAATAAACATCAAACAGTGAGTGAGTGATTCACCACAGTCAGCACTATTTCAGCAACCCTGAACATGATCACGTGTACGGACAACCCAGCTACTAGCCCCACCACAGGGCAAGACGGCACGACTACCCCCACGACAGGGCAAGACGGCACGACTACCCCTACCACAGGGCAAGACGGCACGACTACCCCTACCACAGGGCAAGACGGCACGACTACCCCTACCACAGGGCAAGACGGCACGACTACCCCTACCACAGGGCAAGACGGCACGACTACCCCTACCACAGGGCAAGACGGCACGACTACCCCTACCACAGGGTAAGATGACACAACTACTCCTCCCACAGGGCAAGACGGCACGACTACCCCTACAACAGGGCAAGACGGCACGACTACCCCTACCACAGGGTAAGATGACACAACTACTCCTCCCACAGGGCAAGACGGCACGACTACCCCTACCACAGGGCAAGACGGCACGACTACCCCTACCACAGGGCAAGACGGCACGACTACCCCTACCACAGGGCAAGACGGCACGACTACCCCTACCACAGGGCAAGACGGCACGACTACCCCTACCACAGGGTAAGATGACACAACTACTCCTCCCACAGGGCAAGACGGCACGACTACCCCTACAACAGGGCAAGACGGCACGACTACCCCTACCACAGGGTAAGATGACACAACTACTCCTCCCACAGGGCAAGACGGCACGACTACCCCTACCACAGGGCAAGACGGCACGACTACCCCTACCACAGGGCAAGACGGCACGACTACCCCTACCACAGGGCAAGACGGCACGACTACCCCTACCACAGGGCAAGACGGCACGACTACCCCTACCACAGGGTAAGATGACACAACTACTCCTCCCACAGGGCAAGACGGCACAACTACCCCTACAACAGGGCAAGACGGCACGACTACCCCTACCACAGGGTAAGATGACACAACTACTCCTCCCACAGGGCAAGACGGCACGACTACCCCTACCACAGGGCAAGACGGCACGACGGCACGACTACCCCTACCACAGGGTAAGATGACACAACTACTCCTCCCACAGGGCAAGACGGCACGACTACCCCTACCACAGGGCAAGATGGCACGACTACCCCTACCACAGGGTAAGATGACACAACTACTCCTCCCACAGGGCAAGACGGCACGACTACCCCCACCATAGGGCAAGACGGCACAACTTCCCCCACAACAGGGCAAGACGGCACGACTACCCCCACCATAGGGCAAGATGACACAACTACCCCCACAACAGGGTAAGACGGCATGACTACTCCTACCACAGGGCAAGATGACACGACTACCCCCACAATAGGGTAAGATGACACAACTACTCCTCCCACAGGGCAAGACGGCACGACTACCCCCACCATAGGGCAAGACGGCACAACTATCCCCACAACAGGGCAAGACGGCACGACTACCCCCACCATAGGGCAAGATGACACAACTACCCCCACAACAGGGTAAGACGGCACGACTACCCCTACCACAGGGCAAGATGACACGACTACCCCCACAACAGGGTAAGATGACACAACTACTCCTCACCTCCTTGTCCGGGTCCTCCATCCAGGGCTCGTCACTGTTGTCCATGTGGTTGTTCTGTAACATAAAACAGCTCATCACAATCTGTACAGTATAGACTGTCAAGACATGTCAGCTTATCACCAATGTACCTCCATCATACTGACAATCAAACCCAAGAAAATACTCCATACTACTTTTATTTTTCCCTGAAATATGGATCGCTTCTCAATGGAAGCAACTCTTGAGTGAACACAGAAAATATGGCAGTTACCCCATAAATCAGGAAATACGGCCTTTACCCCATAAGTCAGGAAACATTTTACAATGTCAATGTTGTTATTTTGTCCTCTGTCCAACCACTTTAGCCTCATAAATCTGTAATACTGTTATGAACAGTTTTTATTGATCCAGCCTTATATCCTCCTTTGATTTGGCTCCATCAAGCCAATTTGATCCAAAGAATACGTAATAAAACAAAGAAACTTGGTCAGGCCCAAACAATATTTTCAAATAATGAGGTTTCATGGTTTGGAGGCCAATAAGAGAGTGACAAACAAAGTTGGACTGAACTCTCCAGTCCTCCTCCCCAGTGTCAACTCACATTCCTCTCGTGCAGGGATATAGCGGCCATCAGGGTTTGGGCCCAGTTTAGACAGTCCTCTGTAACAGGAGAAAACTGAACACTTAGGACATATGCACAACAGATGTTTACTGAATCTGAAAACAAATTTTAATTGAAGACACCAACAGTAATACATGTTCCTACTGGGCTCTTAAATGGAAACATATGCAAACACTACCCAAGATTTGACATCTGTATTAATCACAAAACATTCACTACGACGTTATATAACCACTTACACCTGCAGGGATGGACATAGCCACAAGCCCGTAAGTCTGAGACAAGTGAAGATCTACAGGGACAAGTGGTTTTCTCCCAATATATATGTATTTTACATAACTCAATAGGAAATAAGCTGAGGACAAGTTGGGTATAAACCATTGTCTACCCCTGATATAGGGTGAGTGAGTGACCTGGGTTTGCTTTGAACAGTATTTCGGCTATATCATGGCATGTCAGCATCAAGTGGGAGGAAAGCCCGAAGTGATACAGGTCTGAGACACGCATCCCTTTTGCTACTTGTGCTAAATGTCAACAAACCCCACGTTCTCCTCTTAACATCATTTTCTGTAGATTAAGTGTTATGATGTGGAGTATTACTGAGATGAGTCTTCTAATTTGAACAGTATTTTACGTACTTCCCAGACCACTTTGGTGAAACCCACGATCATGGTTATGCTGATGACTAACCTACATACATGATCAGGGTGAACCAGGATTCAAACCCATAATCCCAGGTTTCTGGGACTCTGCTGTCAGGTGACTGAGCCACCTCTGCCCCTCCTCCACATGAAGGGTGATGAAGAGAGTGGAACATCTCCAAGTACAAATTGACTTTACAACAAGGAGTACCTACCCAAACCTTCTGCAGCAAACAGAAAGACCCGATCGTTGAGCGTTGTTGTTAACCGGAACTTAAACCTAGTTCTGTCCCCATCCTAAAACAGTGAAAACAAGTATAACAATGTAACAAGATGAACACATCAATGAATGTGTGATGGCACAGAGAGTCAGATTGTAAACAAAGTGTATACACATGTGAAGAATCAAACCCACACAGTTGCCAAGTTAACGCTTTTACCACTGAGTTACCTGACATTCCTTGACCGGGATTTAGAAGAAGTTGTGACAGGTAGTAACCATATTCTACAACATTACAGAGCATGTGCTAATGTTTTCCTCCTTGATAATCTTCCTGAACGCTTAATACAACCAGTCAAATATTGACTTTCACCTGGGGCAGTCCTGGGTTTGGCAGATCTGCTCGACTGATCTCCATTGGTCGACTGGCTGTCGTCACGCTTTCGCTTCTTGTCTGAGGTTACGTATCGTAGCATTGTGAGGATAATGATGTACGTCGATGATGCAAGGTATTTATGTACAGTTGTAAACACCTTTCACTCAGATTAACAAGATGTTTCTCAGTAATTAATCCTTGATTAATCAGTGTCAACTCAGTTTATTGCCTATTACAGTGATTGACCGATTGGACTATCATGTAGGTACGATGTATTTACAGCAATCAAAACAAACAAAGCTTGTCAGTGTAGATAATCTTCATTGTGTTACAACTGCAGACAGAAACTGCTCAGTCCTAACTGTTGATCATGTCCGGTCAAAATTTAAGAATGTCCGGACAATACTTTTTAAAATGTCCGGTCAGGAAAATTTAAATGTCCGGTAAGAAATATTTTAAACCGGACATTTGAGATTCCGAATCGGACATGTCCGGCGCATATGACGGTTTCCGGACCCCTGGGATTACTCACATACCTTGACATCAGTGTCAACCTTCTTCATACAGGCAAGGGGGATAACTCTCCTGGAGATCTGACTCTGCAAGGACAAAACAAATAACAATCCTCATTAGGATAGGAAGACACTTTATGTCTGTATCCCAGACAGTTAAGAATTATGATTGAAAAAAGTTTATCATCCATAAATGTAGGTTTAATACCTAATAAAAATAAGGTAAAGGCTGCATAAGAATACTTAAATGTTTCTCAGGCATATTTTCAGGAGGGAGGCCAAACTTTGTGAATATTTACACAAGAGTAAACCAGTTTAGGCATATCTTTTAAACATCCTTGGTGCTTTGATGGTCAATATGATATTTTCCTGAAACCATTTCAACTATTTAAGCCAGACAGTAGTCTGTGAGGGATAGATAACATACACATTTTGTAGACATAAACTATAAAGGCTTAATATGACTGCCAGAAAAACATTTATTCTTGTGCTGCCTAACTGCTTGATGTGAGGCGATCACCAGGCACTGGTCCTGCTTATTGCTATTTTAGGACAATCGCCTATCTCCACTTCCTCCTAACTATAGCTAAGCACACCAAAAGAGTTCACACAGAACAGTTCCAGGTCACTCCCCATTGTCTTCAATCTATGTCATTGACAGCTGTATTGATTTAATCCTTGTCCACCAAGGACTTGACAACACAGGATCACCTACAAACTGTGGACCTGCACCAAACAATGGCCTATATATACCAGACAAGTAGCCTAGATGTCTTTTCCAGTTTTATTAACAAAGTTACAAGCATAACCCTCGCCGTTACTAACAAAGCATCTGAGATACTGTATTTTCTTGTATATAAATGCACTAGAACATTATGCACGTGCCCTATTCTTGGATACAAGTTCCTGGAAATATTGCCATTTTGTATATTGCACGCAGTGAAAAAGTACCTTGTATCCAGTGGTCGCAAAAAGCACCTGCCCATAGGCCCATGGCAGGTAGATCTTGTGTTTTGCTCGTAGTTTCAAGTTTGTATTGGTCTAATCGCCTTCAGTAAAATTGTTTGTCATTTATTTGTCAAAATAAGCCTCATTTATTTTAATGAGGGCCTGAAGAGTTTAGTCATGGCCTGCAGTTTCTACAGTCTGTGTGTCCTGAAGACAACCTGGTAATATTTTTAATTTCAAACACTGCTTGTAATCACTTCAGTGATCAAACAGAGGAAACAATCTCGCCCAGTGGAAATGTGAAAATTATGATAACACTGGACATGATGGTCTGCACTTTCATCTGTATTTCCTGTTGTGCTTGGCATTGTTTTGAATGCAAAGATTAAGATAACTGTGCATCATTTTCTCACTAAATAAGCCGGAAATAGCAACTAACTGTACACAGATCCCACATATCAACTGGTCTTTCAGTTAAGAACATGTCAAATATTAAATCCAAAAAGATTTTAATCCAATGATTGGAAGGAGTGAGTATGGTTTTACTGTATAGAACAATTTAACAAGTGACTGTTTGCAGCTTCCCAGGGACTTTCTATTTCCACCTCACTCTGCTAAAAACAACATAGCTATGATAGGAAACAAACTATCAAGTATCCAACATAAGTCACTCTGCTATATACAACATAGGTACGATAAGAAACAAACTATCAAGTATCCAACATACCTCACTCTGCTATATACAACATAAGTACGATAAGAAACAAACTATCAAGTATCCAACATACCTCACTCTGCTATATACAACATAGGTACGATAATAAACAAACTATCAAGTATCCAACATACCTCACTCTGCTATATACAACATACCTACGATAAGAAACAAACTATCAAGTATCCAACATACTTCACTCTGCTATATACAACATAGGTACGATAAGAAACAAACTATCAAGTATCCAACATACCTCACTCTGCTATATACAACATACCTACGATAAGAAACAAACTATCAAGTATCCAACATTAGTCACTCAGCTATATACTACATAGGTACGATAAGAAGCAAACTATCAAGTATCCAACATACCTCACTCTGCTATATACAACATACCTACGATAAGAAACAAACTATCAAGTATCCAACATAAGTCACTCAGCTATATACAACATAACTACGATAAGAAGCAAACTATCAAGTATCCAACATACCTCACTCTGCTATATACAACATAGTCACGATAAGAAACAAACTATCAAGTATCCAACATAAGTCACTCAGCTATATACAACATAGCTACGATAAGAAACAAACTATCAAGCATCCAACATACCTCACTCTGCTATATACAACATAGGTATGATAAGAAGCAAACTATCAAGTATCCAACATAAGTCACTCTGCTATATACAACATAGCTACAATAAGAAGCAAACTATCAAGTATCGAACATACCTCACTCTGCTATATACAACATACCTACGATAAGAAACAAACTATCAAGTATCCAACATTAGTCACTCAGCTATATACAACATAGGTACGATAAGAAGCAAACTATCAAGTATCCAACATACCTCACTCTGCTATATACAACATAGGTACGATAAGAAGGAAACTATCAAGTATCCAGCATACCTCACTCTGCTATATACAACATACCTACGATAAGAAACAAACTATCAAGTATCCAACATAAGTCACTCAGCTATATACAACATAACTACGATAAGAAACAAACTATCAAGCATCCAACATACCTCACTCTGCTATATACAACATAGGTATGATAAGAAGCAAACTATCAAGTATCCAACATAAGTCACTCTGCTATATACAACATAGCTACAATAAGAAGCAAACTATCAAGTATCGAACATACCTCACTCTGCTATATACAACATACCTACGATAAGAAACAAACTATCAAGTATCCAACATTAGTCACTCAGCTATATACAACATAGGTACGATAAGAAGCAAACTATCAAGTATCCAACATACTTCACTCTGCTATATACAACATAGGTACGATAAGAAGGAAACTATCAAGTATCCAACATACCTCACTCTGCTATATACAACATACCTACGATAAGAAACAAACTATCAAGTATCCAACATTAGTCACTCAGCTATATACAACATAGGTACGATAAGAAGCAAACTATCAAGTATCCAACATAAGTCACTCAGCTATACAGTTAATACTAGGTTACTTATCTTTTTATTCATGAAGTATCTATGTGGTATTCAAAATAACTCACTCTTAATAACAAAGTAACCACAATAACATATATCAATGATGAATGTTTTGTTTATTTGTTGTTTATCACCGCACTCAGCAATATTCCAGCTATATGACGGCAGTCTATAAATAATCAAGTCTGGACCAGACAATCCAGTGATTGACATCAAGAGCATTGATTCATGCAACTGGGATACAATGACATGCATTAACCAAGTCAGCGATCCTGACAGCCCGATCCCGTTAGTCGCCTCTTATGACATGCATAGCAGGCTTTTATGGCAAGCATTGGTTGCTGAAGACCTATTCTAAACCGGATCTTCACGGGTGCAATGAAGTATGCGTTATTCAAGACAACACACAAATATATCCACACTGAATTTCAGCTAAATCAAATTACTATTCACAAAGCATCCCAGATGACCTGCCGTCACAAAGTGCCAAGGACCACCTACCCTGTTATTCACGTAGTACCGCAGGTCTCGGCCATTGAACACCACCCATCTCCTCCTCCACCCTCTGTTGGCTTTCACTCTGCAACAGATCAGGGAAACAGTCAGCTGTGCTACCATGGTATCACAAGCAGGTGCTGGCCTTTAGTATACAGGAGACAATAGTCAGGGAAACAGTCAGCTGTGCTACCATGGTACCACAAGCAGGTGCTGGCCTTTAGTATACAGGAGACAACAGTCAGGGAAACAGTCAGCTGTGCTACCATGGTACCACAAGCAGGTGCTGGCCTTTAGTATACAGGAGACAATAGTCTGGGAAACAGTCAGCTGTGCTACCATGGTACCACAAGCAGGTGCTGGCCTTTAGTATACAGGAGACAATAGTCTGGGAAACAGTCAGCTGTGCTACCCTGGTACCACAAGCAGGTGCTGGCCTTTAGTATGCAGGAGACAATAGTCTGGGAAACAGTCAGCTGTGCTACCATGGCACCACAAGCAGGTGCTGGCCTTTAGTATACAGGAGACAACAGTCAGGGAAACAGTCAGCTGTGCTACCATGGTTACCACAAGCAGGTGCTGGCCTTTAGTATACAGGAGACAATAGTCTGGGAAACAGTCAGCTGTGCTACCATGGTTACCACAAGCAGGTGCTGGCCTTTAGTATTTAGGAGATAACAGTCTGGGAAACAGTCAGCTGTGCTACCATGGTTACCACAAGCAGGTGCTGGCCTTTAGTATACAGGAGACAATAGTCTGGGAAACAGTCAGCTGTGCTACCATGGTTACCACAAGCAGGTGCTGGCCTTTAGTATTTAGGAGATAACAGTCTGGGAAACAGTCAGCTGTGCTACCATGGTACCACAAGCAGGTGCTGGCCTTTAGTATACAGGAGACAACAGTCAGGGAAACAATCAGCTGTGCTACCATGGTATCACAAGCAGGTGCTAGCCTTTAGTATTCAGGAGACAACCGTCAGGGAAACAGTCAGCTGTGCTACCATGGTACCACAAGCAGGTGCTGGCCTTTAGTATTCAGGAGAGAACAGTCTGGGAAACAGTCAGCTGTGCTACCATGGTATCACAAGCAGGTGCTGGCCTTTAGTATTTAGGAGAGAACAGTCTGGGAAACAGTCAGCTGTGCTACCATGGTATCACAAGCAGGTGCTGGCCTTTAGTATACAGGAGACAATAGTCAGGGAAACAGTCAGCTGTGCTACCAAGGTATCACAAGCAGGTGCTGGCCTTTAGTATTCAGGAGACAACAGTCAGGGAAACAGTCAGCTGTGCTACCATGGTATCACAAGCAGGTTCTGGCCTTTAGTATTCAGGAGACAACAGTCAGGGAAACAGTCAGCTGTGCTACCATGGTATCACAAGCAGGTGCTGGCCTTTAGTATTTAGGAGAGAACAGTCTGGGAAACAGTCAGCTGTGCTACCATGGTTACCACAAGCAGGTGCTGGCCTTTAGTATACAGGAGACAATAGTCAGGGAAACAGTCAGCTGTGCTACCATGGTATCACAAGCAGGTGCTGGCCTTTAGTATTCAGGAGACAACAGTCAGGGAAACAGTCAGCTGTGCTACCATGGTATCACAAGCAGGTGCTGGCCTTTAGTATTTAGGAGAGAACAGTCTGGGAAACAGTCAGCTGTGCTACCATGGTATCACAAGCAGGTGCTGGCCTTAAGTATTCAGGAGACAACAGTCAGGGAAACAGTCAGCTGTGCTACCATGGTATCACAAGCAGGTGCTGGCCTTTAGTATTTAGGAGAAAACAGTCTGGGAAACAGTCAGCTGTGCTACCATGGTATCACAAGCAGGTGCTGGCCTTTAGTATACAGGAGACAACAGTCAGGGAAACAGTCAGCTGTGCTACCATGGTACCACAAGCAGGTGCTGGCCTTTAGTATACAGGAGACAACAGTCAGGGAAACAGTCAGCTGTGCTACCATGGTACCACAAGCAGGTGCTGGCCTTTAGTATACAGGAGACAACAGTCAGGGAAACAGTCAGCTGTGCTACCATGGTACCACAAGCAGGTGCTGGCCTTTAGTATACAGGAGACAACAGTCAGGGAAACAGTCAGCTGTGCTACCATGGTACCACAAGCAGGTGCTGGCCTTTAGTATACAGGAGACAACAGTCAGGGAAACAGTCAGCTGTGCTACCATGGTACCACAAGCAGGTGCTGGCCTTTAGTATACAGGAGACAACAGTCAGGGAAACAGTCAGCTGTGCTACCATGGTACCACAAGCAGGTGCTGGCCTTTAGTATACAGGAGACAACAGTCAGGGAAACAGTCAGCTGTGCTACCATGGTACCACAAGCAGGTGCTGGCCTTTAGTATACAGGAGACAACAGTCAGGGAAACAGTCAGCTGTGCTACCATGGTACCACAAGCAGGTGCTGGCCTTTAGTATACAGGAGACAACAGTCAGGGAAACAGTCAGCTGTGCTACCATGGTACCACAAGCAGGTGCTGGCCTTTAGTATACAGGAGACAACAGTCAGGGAAACAGTCAGCTGTGCTACCATGGTACCACAAGCAGGTGCTGGCCTTTAGTATACAGGAGACAACAGTCAGGGAAACAGTCAGCTGTGCTACCATGGTACCACAAGCAGGTGCTGGCCTTTAGTATACAGGAGACAACAGTCAGGGAAACAGTCAGCTGTGCTACCATGGTATCACAAGCAGGTGCTGGCCTTTAGTATTCAGGAGACAACTATCAGGGAAACAGTCAGCTGTGCTACCATGGTACCACAAGCAGGTGCTGGCCTTTAGTATACAGGAGACAACCGTCAGGGAAACAGTCAGCTGTGCTACCATGGTATCACAAGCAGGTGCTGGCCTTTAGTATTCAGGAGACAACTGTCAGGGAAACAGTCAGCTGTGCTACCATGGTACCACAAGCAGGTGCTGGCCTTTAGTATTCAGGAGACAACAGTCTGGGAAACAGTCAGCTGTGCTACCATGGTATCACAAGCAGGGGATGGCCTTTAGTATACAGGAGACAACAGTCAGGGAAACAGTCAGCTGTGCTACCATGGTACCACAAGCAGGTGCTGGCCTTTAGTATACAGGAGACAACCGTCAGGGAAACAGTCAGCTGTGCTACCATGGTACCACAAGCAGGTGCTGGCCTTTAGTATACAGGAGACAACAGTCAGGGAAACAGTCAGCTGTGCTACCATGGTATCACAAGCAGGTGCTGGCCTTTAGTATACAGGAGACAACAGTCAGGGAAACAGTCAGCTGTGCTACCATGGTATCACAAGCAGGTGCTGGCCTTTAGTATTCAGGAGACAACAGTCAGGGAAACAGTCAGCTGTGCTACCATGGTACCACAAGCAGGTGCTGGCCTTTAGTATTCAGGAGACAACAGTCAGGGAATCAGTCAGCTGTGCTACCATGGTACCACAAGCAGGTGCTGGCCTTTAGTATACAGGAGACAACAGTCAGGGAAACAGTCAGCTGTGCTACCATGGTACCACAAGCAGGTGCTGGCCTTTAGTATACAGGAGACAATAGTCAGGGAAACAGTCAGCTGTGCTACCATGGTACCACAAGCAGGTGCTGGCCTTTAGTATTCAGGAGACAACAGTCTGGGAAACAGTCAGCTGTGCTACCATGGTACCACAAGCAGGTGCTGACCTTTAGTATACAGGAGACAATAGTCAGGGAAACAGTCAGCTGTGCTACCATGGTACCACAAGCAGGTGCTGGCCTTTAGTATACAGGAGACAACAGTCAGGGAAACAATCAGCTGTGCTACCATGGTATCACAAGCAGGTGCTAGCCTTTAGTATTCAGGAGACAACCGTCAGGGAAACAGTCAGCTGTGCTACCATGGTACCACAAGCAGGTGCTGGCCTTTAGTATTCAGGAGAGAACAGTCTGGGAAACAGTCAGCTGTGCTACCATGGTATCACAAGCAGGTGCTGGCCTTTAGTATTTAGGAGAGAACAGTCTGGGAAACAGTCAGCTGTGCTACCATGGTATCACAAGCAGGTGCTGGCCTTTAGTATACAGGAGACAATAGTCAGGGAAACAGTCAGCTGTGCTACCAAGGTATCACAAGCAGGTGCTGGCCTTTAGTATTCAGGAGACAACAGTCAGGGAAACAGTCAGCTGTGCTACCATGGTATCACAAGCAGGTTCTGGCCTTTAGTATTCAGGAGACAACAGTCAGGGAAACAGTCAGCTGTGCTACCATGGTATCACAAGCAGGTGCTGGCCTTTAGTATTTAGGAGAGAACAGTCTGGGAAACAGTCAGCTGTGCTACCATGGTTACCACAAGCAGGTGCTGGCCTTTAGTATACAGGAGACAATAGTCAGGGAAACAGTCAGCTGTGCTACCATGGTATCACAAGCAGGTGCTGGCCTTTAGTATTCAGGAGACAACAGTCAGGGAAACAGTCAGCTGTGCTACCATGGTATCACAAGCAGGTGCTGGCCTTTAGTATTTAGGAGAGAACAGTCTGGGAAACAGTCAGCTGTGCTACCATGGTATCACAAGCAGGTGCTGGCCTTTAGTATTCAGGAGACAACAGTCAGGGAAACAGTCAGCTGTGCTACCATGGTATCACAAGCAGGTGCTGGCCTTTAGTATTTAGGAGAAAACAGTCTGGGAAACAGTCAGCTGTGCTACCATGGTATCACAAGCAGGTGCTGGCCTTTAGTATACAGGAGACAACAGTCAGGGAAACAGTCAGCTGTGCTACCATGGTACCACAAGCAGGTGCTGGCCTTTAGTATACAGGAGACAACAGTCAGGGAAACAGTCAGCTGTGCTACCATGGTACCACAAGCAGGTGCTGGCCTTTAGTATACAGGAGACAACAGTCAGGGAAACAGTCAGCTGTGCTACCATGGTACCACAAGCAGGTGCTGGCCTTTAGTATACAGGAGACAACAGTCAGGGAAACAGTCAGCTGTGCTACCATGGTACCACAAGCAGGTGCTGGCCTTTAGTATACAGGAGACAACAGTCAGGGAAACAGTCAGCTGTGCTACCATGGTACCACAAGCAGGTGCTGGCCTTTAGTATACAGGAGACAACAGTCAGGGAAACAGTCAGCTGT